GATATTTGTGTATCATTTGAATTTTAAAATTTCATATATATATGTATACACACACGCGCGCGCGTAATACAGTGACATCAAACAGTGATACGCTTAACAAAAAAATAGTAACATCAAACAATGACACGCTCAACAAAAAAAGAGTAATATCAAACAGTAACACACTCAACAAAAAATAGTAATATCAAACAGTAACACAAATATTTTTGTTGAGCGTGTCACTGTTTAATGTTACTTTTTTTTTGTTGAGCGTGTTACTGTTTGATGTTACTATTTTTTTGTTGAGCGTGTAACTGTTTGATGTCACTCTATTACGTGTGTGTGTGTACGTATATATATTTATATGTGTGTGTGTGTGTATATATATGTGTGTGTGTGTGTATATATATATATATATGATAATATATATATATAATATATATAATGAAATAAAATTTAAATGATACACAAATATCAAAAGGAATTTTGAAAGTTTCACATTCAAGTAAGTATGCACTATTTATGGTAGGGGTAATTATGGAATAGATTTTAGAAAGAATTTGAAAATGTTTTAAAATGTGTATTTATTGACAACTATTTGATGAAAAATAGGACTTAAAGAAGGATAAATTTGAAGGTGGTACTTAAAGTCAAAAAAATTTTGAAAAAAGTATTCACATCCCATTATGTCATCTCACAGGGGTAAACCCAACTTTGATAAATCAATATTTATATATTATATTTATACTACTTATAAATATCATCATCTATAAAAATTTATATTTTATCCCTAATCATTATTATAAATTCAATTATACCCTCATATACATTTTCATCTAATTTTTAGTTTTTACACATATTTGACTTTCAACTTATTTTGAATTCGTTTACAAGGACTTATAAATTATTTTAAACTCATTTATTAGTAATAAATTATATATAATTATCTAGATCTATTTGAAGAAATAAAGTCTTATATATATTAAATGATTATACTCATGTAGTTACCAGGTTGAATTCTACAATCAAATATAAGTTATATTTTATTTTTTGGTATGTAATAACATAATAATAATATAAGCAATCTAAACAATCTTTTTAACAAAATAAAAATTAATAATTCTATAATATAAGTAAATGTACAAATACTTAAAGGGGTCGAACAGATATATAAATAAATGAAAGATTAGTTATTTAAAAACTTATAGAATAAACTAATGATTAAAATATGAATTAATTATTTGACACCTAATTTGTTATTTAGTTTAATTACATATATAATTCACATTTTTTATAAAATAATATTATTTAAATTTATTTACGTGCAACGCACATCGCACATTGTTAGTAAATAAAAAAAGAAAAGAAAGAAATTAATGTGAAAGTGGGTTAATATAGTGAGGAATCAATATCGAAGCCAAAGAGTAATATAAGGGTAAAGATAATGCTAAACTGAAAAAAAAAGGATCAAAAAGAGATTAAATGGTGTGACAATAATATGAGGGGAATAACAAAATAATAAAAGTAAAGTGAACCACAATACTTCAACAACTATAACATTCAATAATCAACACATTGGATTAGTGATACATACTTCGTTGTCTTGTTAGTTTATTATTACACGATCGATAACGACAGATCTCGATCTCCTTTAATATATATTTTTTTTCAATTTCTTTCTTGGTACATCATCTACAATTAAGGATTATCAAGAAAGAAATAAACGAACAAGTGCATCGAAGAGGATTTTACCCCGATAATAACGTGCTGGAACAACATTGCATCAAATTATTTTCCCCAATAAAGGGTCCAAGCCAAAGACCTTTCTAAAAAGAACCGCCTGTGAACCTAAGATATGGCCGGCCTCCATTTAACCTTGTCTGGCTATTGTTCGATGAATTGCCAAAAAGAGGAGACAAGTTCAGAAATGTGGAAGAGAAACCACGTTCTTTTTCTTTTACCAGCTTTTTCTGTGAGCTGAGCAAGCCTGGTTGATGAGTTGATAACAGATAGCCATGGCATGGCGGCTTTTTTAATACCATTGAATTGTTCCAATCAATCATTATAAAGCAGCGAAAGGTGAGATTCATTGTTTCTGCACACCGTCCGGGTTTATATCATCGATGCCGACTTATATATACTTTGTTTTTTGTGTAGATGATCTTGATTAATGAATATAAGAATTGATTATGGTACTAAAAAAAATTAATAACATCACTGAAAAATTTCTGACAAAGATAATCCGTTATAAAAGTTATCATTGAAAAGACGATCAATTTTTAGCCGACTAAGAATTAACTTCAAAAATCAAAAAACTTCTTAGCCGACTAAGAATTAAATTGCAGATATATACGCTTTGTTTTTCATGGTAGATGATCTTGATTAATGAATCTAAGGTTTGATTACGATACCTAAAAAAAATTGGTACGGCTTTTATTTTACTATATATATCACGTTTTAGGTGGAGCTACATTGGGACCAGGGTGGGCACTTGCCCCACTCACTTTTGGATTATTTTTTATGAGGATTCCGTAATGTTATTCAATGTACCACATTTAACCCCCTTAAATTCTGAAATTTTACATAATAGTACTAGTCTATTTTTCTTCCCAGTAAATTAGGGGTTCATTAGCCCCCCTAAAACAAATATTTTTCTTATGGATTAAGTAAATTACATGTAAAAGTCGTGATATATATATATTGAAAAAATTATTATATTTCTATTCTATTTAATATAATGCTTCCTATCTTTTAAAAATAATTGTTTAACTATCATTTGTTATTTTTCGATTTATTTATAGTCTATACCTAATAAAACATGATTGGATGCAAAAACTAAATTTTATAACCCAAAAGCATTTTATACTATGTCAAATATGTAATTTCATGACAAGATCAAGAATGATTATAACTACATTTTGCAAATATATAAAGAATAATTTTATTATAGATTTTGTAATTGTAAGCATTGATAGAAAATTAATGAGAAATTTAGCTTACAATTAATTAATTATAAAAAATCTTAGAGATTTTAAAGAATATTTTATTTCACTATAATACATGATTGTGGTACAGTATCGAATCTTAATCTATTTTGTCATTCTTGCATTCATTTTTTTTTCAATATCAACTAGTAAATTATTTTTAGTTATATTTCCCCCCTCCCCTCCATTCTCATTCCTGGCCCCACTCCCGGTGGAGTTTATCAATTTTTGGGGTGCACTTATTTTTTGAATTCATTTATCCTTTTTTAGGTCCACGTACCATGTTTTTAAATAAAATTTAGGTAAAATTTATCATATTTTTAACTTTTCAATATGATACCAAAAGATAAAAAATATTTTTCATGAATTTAACCGTATCATTTCATAATAAAACAAATATACATTTTGTTGAGTTGATCAAAGGCACAAGTTGTTCATCCTCATCTCTTTTTGATGGCAATAAGTAATTGATAATGATAGCGTAAAATAAAGGTATGAAGACAAAGAGGTTGTACAAAGAGGTTCACCAAGTTAAAGAATTTAGCTAATCCCCTGTAATAGAAACTCATGGTCTCTAGTTTTTATTGCATGGAGAAGAAGATTGATACAATAAAATTCAGTTTTCATCTACATAGGGTATTCTTTCCTATTTATACAGGGACTAATTTTTCCCTTCATTTGGGATTGTGTGGTCTCTTCAAACAGTTAGAATCATAAGGGAAATATTTTGTTATTTGAAGATATCAGACACTACTTCACTTGTCTTTGTAAAAGCGATGAAGTGTCATCTTGGAGGTGATACCTTTGTGCCCAAAGGTCGGCCGGCTTGATTGACACAGTTCTTCTTTAAAGATTCTTTAAAGATATGTATTTCTGAGCTTTTGTAGTTATTGACGGAGCTGGTTAATCATTATTTGATGGCCCAAGAGATGTTAAAGTGAGAAGCTCAGTCCGACTGAGCTTTTTAATCGAGCTACACTAGATTATATCGAATTCCGATCACATAAGGACTCATGTTGTTGAAGGGTCATGCCGACTTTAGACTTTGTGGTCGGATCGAACTGTCAAAGTCGAGTATTAGAAAAGAGTCTAGTTCTAATATATGGTATTATCAAATAACAACAATTATATTCTCTTTGTTAGTTTAAACATTGAAACATCCCGCGATTACGAGTTAATGCCATTTGATCAACATTTATGTTTTGCGTTCATATGGTAAGATCAAGATTTCTCTCTATTACCTCCAATTTTTGGCAAATTTTCTTTATTGTTCCTTGTGAATACTAAACACCAAGTTTGCTCCTCTAAACTTTTTCAAGAACACAAAAAAACTACTTAGAATTCTCACAATTCCCACATGTCCTCCTACTTGAAAGCTTCACCCCCAAAATATGCCTATCATTTCGATACAACAAAACGACATGGCCATAAGTTGAACTGTTCATGCATTAGGTGATTCATCAAGCATTTTATGCAGGAGATTTAGAGTAACCAATATTGAAAAATAAATTGGTTGAATGAAAATTTAAATCCTTCAATTTCGTATCATATTTATATCGTGTTAACGATTCACACTCACACTCACACGTGATAGCTTTACTTGCGATATATCCTCTTATCCTCTAAGTTCCATTATTACAATGAATAGTAGCGTAGTTCACTAAATTCATGCATAGTTCAAAACTTCCTGATAAAGACGAATATGTGCAGTTGACTGGACTTTGGCTTGCTGACGAAAACATCCCCTTTCTCTGGGTTGGCTGTGGTTCTGATTGGCATATAAATTCAAACTCTATAAGCTGTCACATTACACAATCGATTTCTTCAAAGAAACAAACACTTCCATTACATAAACATGCTTGAAATGTTACATCATTTTCACAGGTGAGTTGAAACCATACAGAGCCTCCTAATAAATACAGTGGTAAAATACCTAATCATCGGGAGAGAGATAGAGAAAGGACAATAAAGAAAGAAAAAAAATTCTAAGTAACCCTTCATTGGACTTCAATGGTGGGTCATTTTGTTTGATGTGATCTAACAACGACGTCGTTCAGGAGTCCAATGAGGCAGACATGGACTGAAATGAGTAGAGACGGCCCTTGAGTCAAGGAGCTCCATGATGGGCGAAAAGCTAACACACCTCGGCACTTTATACTGATTAATGGAGGCTCCTCTTGAGATTGCATAGTCCATGAGCTCTTCAAAGGTCCCACTCTTCACAACTCTTATCTCCAATGGCCCTATCGAGTTGTCCGCAACTCGGCTTTGTCGGTACACTGAGTTGAGTGACTCTTCCATCGCTAAACAACACTGAGCCAAAACCTCATCACTCGGCGAGTAGGCTGAGTCCTTCACGAGTAGCTCCCAGTAAATCACGTAGTGACCCGGAATGCTTTTTGTATCTGCGTAACTCGTGTACTCAACAACACTTGTGTTGGTTTCACGGAGGAGTTGAGAAGCATTGTCGACGGCCTTTTGTAACTCAGCTTCATCGGTCTTGTCCGCGTCAATACTCAGTAATACATTCTTCCTCCTCACAAAGTGGAATTGTGGTGCTGAGTTGTGAAACCCGGTGACTCGTAATATGTCACCAACTCGGTATCGGCAAAGTCCAGCGTAGGTGGTTATTACAAGTTCATATTCTCTGCCAACTTCCACATCCGCAAGGTCAACGAGTTTGGGAGGTGAGTCACGAGTGAACCCGGGTGAGTTTGGGTGGCCGTGTGGGAGGAACTCGAAATAGGCCATATTTGGCATGATGGTATATGAAACCTCAGATGGTTTTGACATCGGGTTGAGATTGAGTCCGAAATAACACTCCGACGAAGCATACATGGTACAAGCTAATGGTAACCCACCACTGTAATAATCGAGAGTGGGTATGTATTGGGCCATTGCTCCGGTCACAATAACATCAAGATACTTTGTGTTAGGCCAAATTCGAGTTATAATTCCTTCCCAATTTTCCTTCGAACACTCCGAGTCAAGGACCTGAGCCAACTCGGGGACGGGTTTGAGGAACCGACTCATGCATTCCCGAATAGATGGGTCGGTAACTTTCGGGTTAAGAGTTCCGGTTCTGATGTCGTGGGTTAGTTGTGGCCAGTGGAGTTGAAGGAACCGGATGGCTCGGAGTAGCCCCGAGGCAAACACTGCGCCGACTCGGAGGACTTGGTGGCGCTCGTAGAGGCCACAGAGCATTTGAGAGTACATGCTTTGGAACGAGTCAGCACAGAGGATGGTCTCGTTTGGACTCGTGTAGACGTTGTACGGGTCATAGGGTCGGGTCTTGAAGTGGTCACTTTTGTAGTAGCTGGTGAGTACTGGTCGGGCCAAAAGACCACCCGGAGTCTTGGTTTCGGACTTCACGAACAAGAAGTATAAGCCTTTGCCTTTGTCCAAACCTGGTACATAACTGTTGCAATCCAAACAAAAATGAAAATCTGTAAGTAAAAAAGCTTTTCTCATATCGACTGTGGAAGATCTTGTTTCTGTAGATAGATAAACATATACACACACATACATATATATATAGAGAGAGAGAGAGACTTACAGATTCATAACAGGCATAAGAAGGCTATATAACATCTGACGACGATCCAACTCTTCTCTAATAGTGGGCATGAGTTTTCTCTCTCCAGCTGAAGTCCCAGAGCTGTTAAAATAATCAAAATCAACGTTAAAATTTTCTGTTTTTTCTATATAACATCTTCTTCTTAAAGAATGGATAAACTTAGACTCACCTGGTGAGGAATTCAGAGATGGGTTGAGCTGACAAGATTGAAGAACGGTCACCGTTAGCAATACGTTGAATATCAGGTTGAAGATCTTCGTAGGTGATCATGGGCAGTTTAGATTTGAATGTTTGGCGATCAGTGGCTCCGCTGAGTTTGAATCGTTGAAGGTACTCAGTCTGAGCATTCCGAGTTAGTATTTCAGCGAGCACGTTCTCTTGAACGGGGTCGGCGTTTCTCGTCATTTCTTCAATGAACTGAAGCGCCTTCGCATCCTTCTCACATGCCGGAGGTCCCAAAGGTGACGACAACACAGAATCCACAGCCATTTCAGCTGGATAAGATAAGGAAAAATAATGCGTGTGTGAGGAGAGAGAGAGAGAGAAAGGAGGACTTGTCTGAGAAGAAGATGAGGACTTTGTGAAGAGAGAGGGAAGGGGTGGTTGACTTATATAGGGGAAGAGGGGGGTGCCACGTCATGTGACATGTCACGTTGGGACCTACTATATTGAGGAACAAAAAGTTGCCTTAGAGCTTAGAAGGAAGGTGGTGGAAGCTCGTGGTGATGGTGCCTTTTTTAGCATTCTAACTTAATTGTGACTTTATTATTTATTACTTACCCAAAAAAAGACTTTTTTATTTATTGATTTTTTTTTTTTGTAATTAATAAAAAAACTTATAAGTTTCATCTAACAGAGTAAAAATGCCTGAGCTTTTTTAACTTTTTGACCTTTTGTTTGATTCCTCTCTAACCAGTAATAATTATTGAATTTCATTACTTTTTCCAGAACAGTGTGACTTATATATAACAAATTATGTTCAAAAAATTTGAAAGATCTTTCATTATTTTATAATTAAAAAATAACATAATTCTATAACTTTTTGAGATTTTTTAATGATATTAAGCTATTCTATCTACTATTTTTTCAGTAATATAACTTTAAATTTAATTTATTAGTTTAATTATTTATTATCATTAAATGGACAATAAATTCTACTATTCTTTGAGACGTTATTATTAATTTAATAATTATAATAAATTAAATTAACGGATTATATTAATAATTTTTTTTAAAAAAAAAGGAAAGTGACGGAAGCTGGAGGCGTCGTGGACAATTTTGTGACATTAAGGTCAATAGGGGTGTTTGAGGGAGAAGGGACAAGGTGTCCCAGACACGGAGACATAGCTACAACAAAGTAAACAGGTGGGGCCCAGATATGACACATCAGCAGGTACAGGCTGGCGTAGGGATTTGGACAGTTGCATACGTCACCCAATCACGCGGCTCTTTTCCTGGTGAATTTGTCGGTCCATGAAAACGACGGCCTGCCGGCGAACTCGGCAAGTTATCCTGTTGCATACGTGGCACGTGTCTTTTACTATATTTTTTTTGATAATTAATTATTTTTTTCCATTATCATAATACACGCAGACTGAAAATATTAAAAAAGTTATAGTATAATCTAGTTTAGTTTTGTTTATAGATCTATGCGAAGAGCAATGTAATGCAGCCGTCATGTGGTGCTCATTTCCTGGGCATTACATTTTGTTATTTTTTGGTATTTCGTTTAAGATATTTAGATTAATTTACGTTCGATTCAATTAATTTTTTTTTAATCTGATTAAAGACAGACTATCTACATTGAGATTAAAAAATTCATGAAAAATAAATATAAGAGATTTACTAAATTTCGAACTGAATACGTCTGAATTTATAACGATCATTCAGTCTAATTTATTATTGGGGGCTGAATTAATAGTACGATACCCTTTTTTTTTTTTTTTGGCCAATATGGTGGACTTGTCCCTGAATATAGGCTGTTAAATTGGTTTAATGTAAACCAGTCTCGTAGATTCCATTTCATTAAACAATTGATGTCTATTTGTCATTTACTAGTATTAAATAGTCAAAAGAAGAGTGTTACTTAATACAACTAAGACAAACATTACATTAATAACCGCCACAATAATGGAACAGACTTTACATAATTAATTTACCGCATACAACATTAACAACCTTATATTATCCTATCACTCTTAATGCACAAAGTCTTGCCATTTCCAAGTGGTCGTTGTATGTATTTTATATTAGGGTATACAACATAAAAAAAAAAAGTACTTAATACACAAATTTTTATTAAAAAAGTATAGTAATAGTTAGACTTATCTCTTATTCCTAAGACTGAACGACAAATTCAAGCCAATAACATATCATTTGATCAGACAAAACAAACACACATTGCTAACCATGTCTTAATATAAAATACATATGCTATTTTTTTTTAACGTAAGTGTTAATTTGACGACGACTAAGTCCTATAACCGTGAAGGAACAAAAACACAACATTAAAAATAATACTCTACAAATTTTGCTTTGCATTGTATCGTATCGAGAAAGTATCTATGTTTGTTCACACCATAAGTTTTCCATATTATATAAATTTATTTTCTCCTACTTGCTTGGTTTCCATGATTTATACTAATTTTGCATCTAAAAATTTATTTTTTGGGATTAAACTGAATGTTAATTTGATAAAATTAAATATTAATTTTGTGTTGATTTGATGAGATCAAATGTTAATTTAGTGTTAAATTAAAAAAAGACATTAAATTGATAAAATTAAATATTAAATTTATGAATTTGAAAGTTAATAAAACTAGAAGATTAATTTGACATTTCAAGAAATTAAATTTTAAATTGTTAAAATTGAATATCTCTGGTTTTAAATCAACAAAAAATTGGGTAAAAATTCATTGATGGTTATATTGATTTAATGAGTTGTGGTTGTTTTGGGGATGTACGTTGCGAATTCGGAGGGGTCGTGGTGGTGCAATGGTGTGTATAAATGAAGGTAGATGGAGGGTGCACTGATAGTGAAGAAGAAGAAGAAGAAGAGAGGGTAAAATTTGTATTTTTAAAGAAAATTAAGATGATATTAACCTTTTTTTAGCTATCAATAACGGTTCATCAATGCAAGGAGTGTAGTTGAAGTGAATATATGAGCTACAAGAGAATGCGGGTAAATTTCAAAATCGGGAGGAGGTGTTGTTGAAGTTAAGTCTATTTACATGAGGTATGGATGAAATTTATCCTATTTTATATTAGAGTATAAAGTATAAAACAAGAACTGCGTAATTTGTTCGTCTGTAACATGATCTAAAAAAGATAAGTGATGGGCAAATTTTTTTTTTTTATTTCAGAGAGTGATCTCCATTTCAAACCAATAACGTATCATTTAAAAAGACAAGCACATATTGCTAAAACAATCTTAAAATAAAATATACGTATCTTAATTTTTTACGTAAGTGTTAATTTGACGATGACTCAATCCCTACAACCATGAAGGGACAGAAACACAACATTAAAAATAATGCTCTACAAAATTTTTATAAAATTGTATCGAGAAAATATCTATGTTTGTTCACACCACAAGTTTTGTAATTCATATATAGCTAGCTATTGTAAGAGGATTATATGAATTTATTTTCTCCTTTTTTTGGGTTTCTGTGATCTATATACGAATTTTGGTTTTAAAAACTTATTTTGATTTATTTTTCTAGGAGTAAATGATCAAGATGACTAATATTGGAAACTAACTATGGTGAGATTTGAGTTGGTAGTATTGTGATAGAAAACCTATAGAATCATCCCAAATTCAAAGTATACTTGAGGTAACTTGTACCCCCATGCACTCCAAACATTTCTTGGAAAATTTGTATACTCTTGTTTGATCTCAAAAGTATTAGTCAAATGGTGAAACCAAGAAGTTGGATAGGCACTAAAAAAAGAAGTCTTCCATTTTCTCATCTTCTTGTTTGCTACCTTGGAATTAGGTTTTCGTGGAATTTTTTTGCTTTAGAGACTAAGACACCATGACTTGTTAACAACTACCCAAAAGCAAGAATGGGGGACATGTAAAGAGGCTTGCCCCCTTTTTGGTCGGTGAAACATTTGGTATAGGGACCATAGAGAAATGTGGAAAGAATGTTGATATGAAATAGAAAGTTATGAATTAGTCGGGTTAAGTAGCAACTTAATAGGATTGAGCCGTAATTTGATTTGATTTGATAAGATCAATTTTTTTTTAATGTGGTACCAAATTCGATCCATAACATTTCCCTAATTGAGAGCCAAACTGCAAGTTGGTCACGTTTTGTTTAGTTTATGTCACTATCATGATAGGTTTCTCAGACCATTTGCTTGGTTTGAATTGTGAGGACATAATAATAATAATAATCTAACAACTCCTTATATGTTCTAACATTTCAATGCTCAACCACTTGTTTAGGTCTTATCATGTATAAAATTGTGATAAACGAGATAAAGCATGTTTTGCAATGGTGTTCACCCATGACTAAGATTAGTCTCCTCAACCTTTTAATTTAAACCGACCTTTTATTGCCCAAACAAAGTCATTAACATGTCAAATCACCTCGAAGTAAATATGTCAATTGATTCATGTCGTAGCGCGTTATAACACATCAAAGTCATGTTAGTTTTAGTTTGTAAGGTCATTAGATATTCATATCGTTTTCGATGTTTTTTTTTTCTCAATCAAATATACTAGAAAAAAAAAAATCTCTTAATTAACATCCTAACAAAATCATATCAAACAATCTAATTCCCATAATATAAGACTAAGAATTGAAAAGCTATAACATAACTCAGAAGCATCTAGAATTCTTTGGCCAAAACTTACCCCCCCTTCCAAAAAAAAAGTTTCTATCTTATAATACTAATCAAAACAATTTTTTTTTTGTAGTGTCATTTTCAATTTCATATCATCCTCATAACTGCTAAAACCCTTGCTTCCAAACCCACCCCCAAAAAAAAAAAAAAAAAAATCATCGCACTCACATAGATTAATCAAATAATCCGAAATCAATCATTAGGGATGATTCAGTAGTTGAATCTGACCTCTAATAACTCAGAGGTCTCAAGTCTTCTCATACTCCTTAAGAGTCAGTCACTCACGTCTTCAAATGATATGTTCTAAAATCGTTTGAAATACGTTGGCCAATATCCGAGTTTAAGGGGTAATCAGCGCAAATTCAAACACCTTATAAAAAAAATAATTCAAAATCGATTCGAATACTAAAGCAACATACATATCTAAAATAGCCCATCAATCCAATTTTCGTGCCAAAGACAAGAATAGACTTGGAAAACAAAGTTTGCTATAAATGTTTAGGTTTTGTACCGATATTTAGGTTTGGTACCTACAAGTTGGATGCATAAAAATTAATTGAAAGCTACATGAAACGAACAATTAGCAAAACCCCGGAGTCTGTCCAATAGATCAAAAGAACATGCTCTTTTTTCCCACCTTTTTGAACTTTATTATAGTGCAAAATGGTCCCCAACAATGATACCAATCTACAGATACATTTGAATTTGTAATTTACTTTTTTGAAAGAGTGGGACAAACGTGGAATTTAGGAAGGGTGGAGGAAGCTGGCAATTGTTGGGTCACGTTTTGGTGTCTTTATGTCAAAAGTCTATGGCGTAGAAAGAATAGCACGTGAGGATTGAGGCGATATTTTCTCCAAAGGGCAGCGTTTATTATTATTATGTTTTTTAGTTCATCGGTAAGAGAAGTCTGAATTAATTTACGTGTATTTCGATTAATCTCCTCTTCAATTCAATCAAAGGTATGTGTCATTCACGCTAGAACTAAGGTATTCATAAAAAATAAATTTTTCATAGCTTAACCTAAAAAGATTATCAAGATTCGAATTCAGGACGCTTGAATTTAAAATTCATCTTTACCACTTGAGCTATCTCTTGAAATTAGCGTTTAGTATTAGGAAAGGGGATGTTAAATGATTCGAATAGTTTGATTTCGATTAATTTTTTAAGTTGGTTTTGATTAGAAAATAAATTAAATTTTAATCAAAAATTTAAATTCCTTTTATAAATGAATTAAGGGAGACTCAAATATTTAACGGTGAAATTTCACCATCCTTTTAAAGATCCAATTATCTTATTTTACCTTTGTTTAAATTTAAATTTGTTCTCGTTTAAATTTGAACTTCTCCTCTTTTAAATTTGAATTTCTTCATTGGAGAGGTTTACACCAAATCAAGTTTTTTACCCTTTTTTTTTTTTTTACTTAAATTTAGTTTAAGGCATGGATCTCCATTAGAAATAGTCTAAGGTCGCCTCGACTCAAGTTTGAGTTTGACCAGTTATAATCTAACCAAATCTAATCATAATACGTAAAAACTATGACAAACTCGATTAGATTAACCTTATAACAAACATCCTATGGTCAAGGGAACATCTTGTAGTTGTAGCCTATTAACGTGTTTTCAAAGAAGTGGGTGCCCGGGGGGGGGGTGGGGAGGAGAGAACAATTCCTAGAGTGCGCATATTGGTTTTGTGCTTTCAGGTCAACTGTAACAAAGTTTTCCCAGTCCAAAACTAACGGCGAGTTGGTATGGTGACTCAGTTTTCCACTTGGGTCAAATTTTCCTTTTGCTACTTGCTGCCGAAGGTTCCTTCCCTTTGTCTACATTTTTTCACCCCCCCCCCCCCCCCCCCCCCCCAAAAAAAAAACTCCCCTCCTCTTTGTTTTTGAACATAACGTAAACCACTTGTATAACACATTGTGTAGGCTGGACCAAGGCTGGTGCAAAACTATGGGTTAGGCAAAAAGACCGTACCCCGTAGTACGCTTGCCCATTGGTGGTCCACTGGACCAAGTGTAGATAACAAATGGAATATGAAAACCTAACTGGCAAATGTAACACAACAAGAATTCATATAAAATTAATAAATTTGAATTTGATTTTAACAAGATTGGGTGATAAACAGGTGAACCTTGCACAAAGCCACTTATTATACGGGTCATATTCAGGTAAAGTATATTAATTCATTTATCTGATTAAATTTTAGTAGTGAAATTTGATTTTGGACGAAGATGTTGGATGTTGAATTTGGAGTATGTTGTTCTGGTTTGTTTTGATTTTTTTGCTTTGTAATATGTTAGTGATGGAATTTGATTTTTCATGGATAAATTGGATGTTTGAATTTGTTGTGCACATAATTTTTTTTTTGATAAATGTATACATAATTATGGCGGGTGGAAAATTTATTGTTTGAACCTGATAAACGGATTTGTATGTGAGTCGTGTTTATTTTTTGTAGTTTTCCACCCGTTAGATAAACGATCCGTGTACAAGTTGAGTGACTTTAAACACGAACCCGTTTAACCTGACACGATTACCCACCCCTAAGAAAACCTCAAACTAGTGTCAAGTTGAATTTAAGATTTGATTTCATGATAGATTATACTAATTTTAATGAATATTTGTTGGAAAAAAATTGATCATTTAGGATTGATCCTTGAGCTTAAAAGATTTACTCTAATTTTAAAGTAAACAGGTTAGAATGTGTTAGACGATACAAATGCTTAGTTACTTCAAGGCTATGAGCTCTAAAATATGCACATGAGAGGTTGGTCTAAAATGAAACCTTGGGCTCAAATGGTTAGGAGGAGAGACAGAGCAATTGAAAGGATCAGTGACCTATTTATTTTCAATACTAATCAGACCACATTCCGATATGACAAATAGAAGGCCAACATAAAAACCAGAAACAACCCTACCATCTTTAATCCCTATTGATGCCACTATTTTTGCCACCCACAACCGTTTACAGAAAAGTTATAAAACTGATGGTAGCAGCGGTGGTCGCAACCTGGTCACGTAGCGTATAACCGCCTTCCAAATGCCATGGTTGTGGTGCCCATGACACCATAGAAAATAGTGGTCACGTCATCAATGATGGTAATTGCTGTGAATGCATGTGGATAGAGGGATACATAGTGGTTATGCCAGTTTTGGTAGGTGGGGGGTGACAAACAGTTGCAGCATTAATATGTTTTGATCCTGAACATTGATTGATCCTACCGCACTTGGGTCCAATATTTATCGTAGATCCGTAGATTGAACCAATCACATTAATAAAACAAATATTAAAGTTAGCGTGTTTGAGAAGCATTTATAAATTTTGGGGACGAAATTACTACCTTCTGAGGTGATGCGAGCACCTTGCAAGGTACATTTACCATCTTTGGGGTGAACTCCTCTTCTAAAAGCATCGAACCAGCAATAGGAACAAATAATTCATTCTAGTTCTTCCTCTACATTGCTGATAAATCGTAGGGATCACAGAAATTTAGCCTATGCCGTATTTGGGTCTCTCGAACCACCTAAATTTTACTCACACTGGTCCCCTCACTATGATCAAAATTTTGTTTCAATATATTGTTTTAATTATCAAGGAAATGAAAATGTTTCAAAAAAATAAAAAATTTAAGATTTATTTTTTCAAAACATTAGTCAAAAAATACCAAAGTATTTTGAAATACTCTAAAACATTCCAAAATAATTATGCAAATACATTGAAACATTACAAAACACCTTAAAACATTATGAAACACCTTGAACTATTAAAATTTCGATTCCATCAATGATTTGTTTCGGTCACCTTACAAACGAAAACGTTTCACATATTTCGACCGTTTTGAAACGAAATTTTGATTCTTGCTCTCACCCCAAGCATGAAGACGACCCAAGCAACCCAGCATTTGTTGAAGATATATGAATGGTACATAGCAAACTACTATCAGTCGACGACATATAAATCAATTGCACTTTGTACAGAACCGAAAACTCCATATGATAACAGAAAGCTGTAAATTTCGCAACCAAAACCAGAGAAAGAATCAAAATATAGAATAACATAAAAACAAGGGCACTTAAAGAATCTCTCAAGAGTTAATAATTGGGTCATTCAAATTTCTTTTAGAAAAAAAAAGAACAAGTCCTATTTTTATTGATTTTTTGCATTCCAAAGCAAAAGTTCACCCAGAATATAATCACTCACTATGAAAGCGCCCGATGTAGCACTCCTTGTGCTGATCCAACAATGTGTTCAAGTACCTGCCATGATATAGATATGCAAAAATCCATGTTAGCTTAAAACAGTGTTTATATCCTATGACATTTCAAAACCTGCCAAGTTCTCTTGCCATGATATGCAAATAATCCAGGATGAGGGAAGGACAATTTATCAGAGGAACATCTGGTTAAGAGACTTGTGGTATCCAAACAAATAATGCAGGCATTTTCTATTTTTTTTATAAACAAACAAAAAATTCAGAGACATAAAAGAGAGTGGTGTGTATCCTCTTGTTCGGAAGATATCCTGTGTTGTTGTCACTGTCGCATTGGCAGGTCAGAATCTAAGGGAGATTAGTGAACTAAATATATTTAAAAAGGGGGCGGTGAATCAACGGAGTATTAGAGCTACAGTCAGTGGCTCGAGAGTCCAATTCTTAAATGTTCAAACATAGGTTCACTGAATCTCAAAGGTGTGGAGAGAGAGAGAAGTGGGGGGGTGTCAGACTCAATATACCTGCGAAAAAATAAATTATTACGCAAGTGGATATAGAAAATGTAAGGCAACTTCAACTGAAAACAGCGACAGAATTCTTAAACTTCCCCAATGTGTTCTGGAACCTTGAATAACAGACTTAATGATTAACAAACATAAACCCAGTCACCAATACCATATTTCTTAAGACCAAAACCTTAACTTCTAGGATTCAAATATAGAGGACTGACAGCGTAATAGAAGGGGCCACCCTTTTCTAAAAGCTTTCCAAAGCTTTCATATTGAAGATTAATCCACATTGGTGCCCATAATAATACTCCTATTCAAATTGAACATAACACTTCACTCTTTTGCACTTAACCTTTAAAAACATAAAAAATCTGTCTTTATTTGATTAAATTATAATTACTCCCAAAGCAAATAAAGCAAAAAAAAAAAATCTTGTCATTTCCAATGCCTCTAAAATAGGTGTTCATCCTTTGTGAGCTTCATCAAGCATGAACGTATGGTAGTTGTTGATGCATGCTTTTTCACAGGCATAAAACTTTCAGATCGGATATTTTTCAAGTCGCTACATGTAGCAATTATCCACATTTCAATACGTATATGTAGAGGGGCTTGTAGTACACTACAAGTGTAAATACTTTAATGCCCACTACGTGAATGAGTATTCTAGTTCAAAATTAAACATGATAGAATGAACAGAAATAACATACAGAAACAAGATAACTATGCCTTTGACTCCGAACAGCCAGCTTTTAAGTGATTTTCTATTTTTAATACTCAAATGCGGGACTGAGTCATTACAATAACACAATCTTAAATGAAGTGAAAATCATACCCAATCAAGATGTCATAAAAATATAGATAAATCACGAACCAACATCAAGACCTGAAGAAGCCAGTTGATCCAGATTAAATTAGACATGTAATGATCCAAGTTTGAATTGAAAATCAAAATGGCAGTATCAAAAATTAGAATTGGAATGCATCTGAGTTCTTCAAATTCAGAAGAACACTCAAAAGCTGTCTATGATTGGATAAAGCCACAATACAAACTAAGCCACTCAAGTTTGACTTGTGATCGGATCCATTAAAACAGATTTATAAGCTCATTATTACATTATTTCAGTTTGATCTCTATTCAATAAGCTAATAGCTATCCTCAAACTATATAAAAGTCCCTGGAGGTTGAGGTGTGCTCATACGTGAGCTTGTATCAACTTTAACAGGAATATTTCTTATAGTAGCCTTTGGCTTCTTCAGATCAAAAGCCAAATGATTCCATGGCTTTTCTTCCTCCATCCTGTTTGGTGAAAACAATAATATACTCCCATGCATGGCTCTCATTTAATGGGGTTAAGCCATAAAAGTAATAGTCCATAACTGAGACACGGACAGGGAAACAGAAGCAAATTATAGGAGCTTTTAATAAAGCAAGTGCTGATTCAAAAAAATTCATGCAAATGTATATGACAGCATCTGCATTGTTCTAGAGGTGCATTTCAAATTCTCCTGTCCACGCAAAATTTGTAAACACTGCATCCGTACAAAGGATGAACAACTAGAAAGAAATAAAAGTTGGAGGGATTACAAAGGCATCCCTCCCTGCAATCCTTTTGTTTGATTGGGTAAGAAAGAAAGAATGATGGGAAAGAAGTAGTTTCACTGCCCTTTAGAAATACACACTTACCTAACTCGTGAATATATTGTTTGAAAAGCATCATAAGAACTTTTTGGGGGCAAACCCATAGAGGAAAAAAAAGGTTAGTTCCTTTCGCTCTACCCGCAAACTCTTTAGTCAGAAGGATATGTGGGCTAGACGGGAAGTGCTTCCCTTCTTTTCCCCATCTTTCTTTTCCTTTCTACCAATAAATGAAAACTATATTCATCAAACACCCTTTATTCACCACTTCCCTTCCTCTCACCCTTCCGCACCGTAAAACTGGTTAGAGACAGCTATAGTACTAAAGAAAAATAACTATCCCTTTTTGTTCCTTTTTCTTTGAGGTGAGGTAAAGGGAGGTCTGCACCCCATCACTATTGTTTTACCAGTTCCAAAATATTAATATACCAGACAAATTACTTGCGCACAAACTTTCAAATAAGGCTCTTTCAAGCTTCTACTAGAACATGCAGAGTACTGCCCAAAATAAATAAGAACAGATTTATACATCAAAAGAGTATATGGTGATGAACACATCAACAAGAACAAACAATAGCAAATAAATAAAACAAAAAATTAATCCAAGCAATCATGAAAAATTGACAGATCCATAACATTGACACTCAAATCACGCCAGTAGTCAACACTCAAAAGGAATCAATACAGAAAATTGCACTATTTAATGACCATCATTCCAATAACTACTTCTAAACAATGAAATCACCTTTTACCCAAATTTACATATCAACACAAAATAAATGATTTTTCTAATGCATCTGATAACAACAAACACGTGATATTCATAATCATAAACTCTCTAAAAATGTACAAAATATTGTTCGTTATGCAGGATATTCTGCAATTTGACACAGAATTGCCTCTTCATAGCCAAATTCTCTCAAAAACCAATTTTCATGTTTCATCAATAACTTCAATACATTTTATGATTAAAAAAAAATAACGGGAACAAAATAACAACCTAAATATGGTGTCATTGTCCCACCTTTTCATACAAAGCGCTGCCGCATCACCCATCTTCTCCATTCCTCCCTATCAGTCTCAATGCCTTCTTATCAACCAACAATGCACATACTAACAAACACTTTCTAACTACTAAACGCTTCAATTCATAAATCAAATCACATTATTAATCAGTAATATTCAATCTTCAGTGGCGTCACTGAGTAAATTACTGAAAATGGAAAATTACTTTTGTTCTTTCATTTCAATTCATTAATTGTGTTAAGACTCACAAAGAACTACTAGCGATCCTGACAAGTGCGACGGAAGGTACCGTGAGACAGCTCGCAACAAGCCCGCGCGTTGACGGCAAGGTGAGAGGTGAGGCGGGCTCCGGCGACCACGCTGTGCAGCGGCAGCAGCGATTGAGCGCATCCTAGTTCTCCCAACGTCCTAATAACAAAACACACAAGAAAAAAACCAACTAATAATGAACGTAAATTTATGAAAGTCGTACCGAAAAGCATAGAAAATAAAATTTCTGCTAGGTTGCTGAGAAAATGCGGGAAATGAAAAGAAAGTGGAGATTTGATAGTAGAATAGGGGAAGACCTGGGATTGGAGAAGGAGAGGCGGCGAGGGGCGGATAGAGGTGGCGGACGGAGACGGGGAAGAGGCGGCGCTGAGCGGAAAGTTGAAGACCTAACGACGGAGGCCAGTGATCTCGAAAGCGAACTACGCCAAGCCATTTGGGAACAGACTCTCTTTCTCTCTCTAGATTTAAAGCAGAGAAGTGATAGATGGGAGTGGCGAGGCTTCTCTGAGGTTTAAGGAAGGCTAAATTTCATAAATGCCCTTCAACTAAGATCTTTTGTTTTAAATTTTTATTTGCCTTAATTTATTTTAATTGACTCCTTCTATTAATATAACCATTAAATGAGACTAATCAATGATTATTATTAATAGAAATTATCTCATTAACAGTTAATTTTAACAGAATTTGACTCATTGACAGTTAATATTACCATAAATTATCTCATCGGTTAATTTTAAAAGAACGAACCAGTTGAAATAAATTATATAATTTATAGAATAAATTGAAATAATTAAAAATTTAGGGTAATTTAAAATAAATATCATAGTTTTATAGAGTATTTATGAGATTTATGGGCCAAATGGCTCTTGATTGGATAGGAACAAATGCGACTTGTGAGGAGCACGAGGGTTGATGTGAGTTAGTTTGTTCGATCATTAAGAGATACACCGAATAATAACTCTCATTGCCTGATTTTCTTGAGGTGAGGCCAAGAATCGATGATAAATTGGTAAATTATATTTAACATGGTTAATGACATTCTAATACGAGTCTTGCCCCAGAAAGGCTATTGATTTTTTATACAAAATATAATCACATACATCATACAATGCCCCCTCGACTATATTTCTCAAAAATGGAAATCAATTGACATAGTTAAAGCACTGTTATAAAATTGCATTGAAAAGGTAAATGAGGTTGGGGTATAGTTCAGGAAGTCCAAGTGTAATTTGTCCTAAATAAAAAATAAAAAAAAAAAAGGTAGGAAAAATTATAAAGTTGACACACCTGCCATTTGAGTGGCAGATATATAAAATTGGGTATAAGCAGAGAAGAAACATAGGGATGAAATACAATGGCATCTATATTTTCATCTTTCAGTACAATCTTGTGCCTATTTCAAAATCACCTGTCAGAATTATTTGACAGGAACAAGAAAATAAAAAAACAAATGCCCCAATAGCGGAAATTTGCCAGGAATAAGAAAATAATGCTCTGAGTAACACCATTCTGATGACAGGAGACTTCATAGAAAAGCCTATTCTGGAAAAGAGTATGTGTTAATGCATTTTAACTGTCTATTGAAAGTGTATACTCTGCCTGTTTTTAATCTTGCTGTGACTATAGATCCTCTATAATGCAATCTTTTCGTAGAATTCCGATCCTTTGACCAAATACCAAGTTCATGCAGATCTCCTTCAGTCCAGCAGATGCTGACTGATACGCCACCACGTGCTTTTAAGCCTTTAACACAGCCATTTGCCCATTTATCTCGAGGAAGGGCAGGAAGTAAGTACAAGTCGTTCATGGTGCTTTGGACAAGCATTTCTGCTACTGCTGCAGAAAAACTGACACGAGAAAAAAAAAATTGCAACATCAGCAACTTTATCAATGACCAACATTATGACATCTTCCGAGGCAATGTTTGCTTGAGACAGATTTAAACTAAGATGTATGATTTAATTTGGAGCACTAGAGGATAAAGTGCATATATGAAACTAAGATGTGAATTGATGAACTGTTTGACCTAAGAAAATTGCTATGTTCAACTCCTCCCTCGCATTTTAAATGTAAGGCATGGCCCTTTGACTCATAGAAAGCATATTTTCCAGGCAGATAGCAATTATCAAGGTAATTTGAACACTACTAAAATGCACAGTTTCCACCCATAACGTATCGAAAACCTCAGAAGACAGGAAGCATACTCCTATCCAATCTTTTCTACTAATGGAATTCAACTTAAACTAGGACTGAATAAATAACCCAGCATAAATAAACATCCCTTTTCCTTTTAACAGTTCAAAGGACCATGAATCCCTTGCTCATAAAAGCTCTACAGTTATCAAACCCTTAACCCCCCCCCCCCCGGCAGGGCGGGGACAAAAAAACTCAAAAGCCACAAAAAAAAAAAATGCTCATCTTCAAACTAATTGGCTGGTATGATTGACATGCACACTAAAAATGCTGCTTACCCAAAGTTGGCATCAATCTGGAAAGGTGGGTGTGCGTTGAATAGGTTACTGTAAAGTCCTCGAAAATTGCTTCCCTGATCAGGATCCACCAAAACAAACAAATGCTTAACCATCCTGTATGCGTGTTCACTGTTATGAAGGCGCGCCCACAGAGCAGCTTTCCATGTAGTTGACCATCCTGGCCCATCCTCCCCTGTTTCAAGGGAAGAAAATAAATGACATTGCTTGCTGATAACTCAAGTCGTATCACAGTAGCCAAACTGAAGCTCATATTTACAAGACATGACTATAGTGCATGCTTATAACACTGTATCTTAACCAGTTCAGACAGGAGCTACTATACCAACTACCAACTTGATAATAGTAGTGCAGCCTCAGAAATCGGAATCATACACAACAAACACTATAGGAAGCTCCATCTCCATTCAGGGACAAGCCATTTCTATCTTCAAGTTTGTTCCATGGCACGAATCAAACTATTCTTTTAAATATTAATGATAAGAGACAAGGGTGTGCCTTGGCACAATGGTAATGTTGCTCCATTGAAATGTTGTAACGGGTTCGAGTCGCGGAAATAGCCTTTCTACTTGCAGGGCTGCATACATCTAATCCTCCCCACAACCCGTAATAGTAGAAACCTCGTGCACTGGGTATGCCCCTTATTAATGATAAGAGACATTATTTTAATGTTTCATAACTGTAATTGATGTGTACCCCTTCTTTTTCCCCCTTTCAGTATAAGAAATTTGTTGCTTCAGGAAGAATGAAGTAATTAAAATATGAACACTAAGGACACCAAGATAGAATGATACGAGTTCAGGCGGCCACTTAATCCCTCTCCCCGGGGGGCAGCCGCAAAAGAAACGGCAAAGAAATAAATTGGTAAACAAAAATGATTGGGCAGGGCTAGAGTGAAGTAATGTACGGGCCCATTTTAGACAAACCTCTTTTATATAGGGTGTTGTCTGCAGCTTTACAGAGGTCGGGAGTTCTCTCTATAGTGATTGTGTGTCCTGGAAACAGGCCAAATAGGTGTGACAGATGCCGATGATGCACCTGTGGATCCTCAAAATCTTGTGCCTGCCATGAAGGAGACAAACAGGCCAAAAAAAATCTATTCCTCAGCACAAAATGAAACATTTTTTATTCTGAACTTATGTCTATTTGTGCTCAGCCAACTTCCTTCAAGCACAACAAACACAATAAATATGAAACAAATTCTAGCTTTACACATACCCATTCCATGATGGAACCATCCCTAGCAATTTTTATCGGATAAAGCCGTGGTTGTGCTTTGCGAACTCTTTCAATCAGACCGTCTGCACTTTTTCCCAACACCTGTTCAAAACATTGTGTCCTTAAAAAGTGCAGTATAAGAAAAGGAAATGATTAATAGACAATGGATCTTCGAACACTAAATCAGATTAGAAGCTTTACCTCAGCAGCACAAACAATGCCAGAGAACACTTCTCTAATAATTGTAATGTCCATGGTTGAGGAGTAGCTAACGCTAGCAAGCTCACCATCAGGAGCAATAAAAGTATGTTCTGGAGAGGTAGATGGGTTCGTTTCCAGAAATCCTCCACGGCCTTCAATCAACCAGTCCAACAGAAATGAAGCACATCCTTCCAGCAAGGGATAAGCCTTGTATTCTAGAAATTCCTGGTTAGTTACAAACATTAGCATTCAAATTGCTTTTTGGACAGTTCTGGAATGAAAATTATGAATCTCCCAAGCGAGTCTAATATCTGTATCCATGGTAGGTAGAGAATGAAACTGTTTGATTACCATTATAAAATCAGTTGTTTGACAGGCCCAAAATTCCAAGGTTACATGTTCCAGAGCAACAAAACCTAAAGTCACCTACTTAAAGCCGAAGATTAGCCTATACTGAATCTATCTTATCTAGCATAGCCACCAGGTAATGGCCCTCTCATATTTCACGACATCTCTCACTCTATTTAACGTGAGGTGGATGAATGGAGGAGCGCTTCTAGTGCATTATCCATTTTGTTTTTGTATGTAACACTCTACTACTATAAAAATTGGAGCAAACTGTTGGAGTTACAGCCTAGTTTATTAGGGTTTATCGGTGGACTGTGATGTGTTATGGTGGATGGGCACTCAGAATTATGGGTTTGTCGGTGTTATGGGGCTGTCGGTGGATGGATGGTGGCTGACCAGTAGGCTGTTGCAAGGAACCGGCTGTCAGAGTTGGGGCAGCGGCTGTCTGGTTTGTTCCGTGCGATGATTGGCGGACACTAGGTTTAGGGTTAGAGTTGGTGGCTCTGATACCTACTTGAGATATCTGTGAGTAAAAAGGGATACAAACTAAGTGTAGAGCCCCCGTATATATAGTCAAACAATAAAGGTATAAGGATAAAAAAGTAAAAAGAAACTATAAACAATTGTTCAAGAATTATAGCTGGAATTCACTTATTGGCTAGGTGAGTGAAGAACTACCTTGGGGAGGATAGTCCCGAGGAAATCTGATTCAATAGTCAAGGCTGAGATAGACAGTATGTTAAAGAGTAAATTTATCAAATTTGTCCATGGAACCAACTTCACAAGCAATGCAACAAATCAGCTACTAAAAGTTAGACTGCTAGGATCACAGATCAAAGGGCATGTCAAAGAAGACGGCTTCAAAAATTTTAGATCATTCAATAGAATAGAATGTCTGCACTAACAGTGAATAAAACTTACGACGCTGTTCTTAAAGCTAAGTATCAATGCGATCGTATCACACTGAGAGAAAAAGAAAAGGTTTTGCAATTGCAATCACAGTAGCATTAAGTTATAAAACTAAGTGAAACTTCAAGACATCATTAATTAAAATTATTTCTGCAGAGTAATTCTTTTTGAGAAAACAATCTCTATGAGATTCTCAAGGTCACACCCTAGTGCAAAGATTTGGCTTTGGCTGGTCTGGGCATTAACAATGCAGTTAGATAATTGTTGGTTTTTTTTTGGAGTCTAGTTTTTATATGTGATCCGGATGATGACCCGATCCGAAATAATGTTGTGTGGTTTTTTAATGGAAAATTTTTTGAGGCTTAGTCCATGGAGCGAAGGCTTGGGCCGATAGGCCCAAGCCGTAGCGCTCATGGACAAGCCTCGTGGGGGTTCGGGGGCAACGCCCCCGAGGAAAAATTTTTGGGCCCGTTATACAGCCCAGTGCGTAGGACATATAAACCCTGTTGTTTTGGTGATTAGGGTTAGTCGTGGATTGTACAGCCGCTCTCTGTAATTCAACTCTCTCAATAGTGAAATCCCTGCAGCTTCGTGGACCTAGGCAAATTGCCGAACCACGTAAAATCTGTGTCTCGTTCTTTCTTGCTTCTTATTGTTTTATATTCTTGATTTGTTCTTCGATTGTGTGTGTTTGTTAGTGGATTTAAATCGAGTTAAATCCCAACAATAATTACATATATTCTCTATGCATAAGGTGTGGTCACATATTGGCTTGGAATAAGCAACATTGCATATTTTGAATAAGAATTTAATTCCCTGCTTTTGAGGGGACGGGGAGGGTGTGTACCATGGACAGCAACATTTCCATCAAATGAGCCAAGTGTTTCATAATTGTTAAATAAACAACTTAGTAAGATATTCCTCCACCATTAATTATCAAGGATAAATGATATGTAAACATTTGACATGTACCATGACATATTTCCGTTAGAAATTTACTATAAGTCTTAATGAGAGATATATGTCACTAGAAGGAGAATAAAATGGCAAACAGCAAGAACCGCCGCTGGAATGATTACTGAAACATATGGATATATAACAAAAAAAAAATGAGGAAGAAAAAAGAAAAGATAGAATTGGAATCTCACCTTGTCCATTGTATAAGTATAATGCTCCAACAGATGGGTACAAAGCCATGCTCCACCCATTGGCCATACAGCCCACACAGGTTTACCTCGATCTGGGGACGTTTTTGCCCATATATCAGACACATGATGTACAACCCAACCACTTGTTTCATAATTCACCTGCAACATTCTGCAACTAAATAAATAAAGGTTGTACACATATAATGGAAGAATGGTTACATAAAGGTAGATTTGTTTGCAGAACATAGAAATTACAGAGTGCATGATGCTTCTTAACCACCACGAAATCTCATGCAGTTCTCCAGCCTTTTGAAGTGTATTTGTTGTACTTAGCAAATATAGAACGACAGCAAAATTACAGTATGGTGCTGATTAAATTAGCAGAGGGATGCCTGATATGAATCACCTTGCTATTCTTCTCGACATTTATGGTCTCATGGAGAGTGGAGGGATGGCTAACATCATGTTTGGTGGAAAAACAAAAAATGAAAGAAGGAAAAGTGAAGAGACTAGTCTTCCTTTCAACCTATCCTTCCAAAAGTGGGAGGAAAAGTAGGACAGTTACTTCAATGAGTTGAAATGTAGGTTGTTTATATATCTTAGTGACGTAGTACATATATATATATATATATATATATTAATTTCATAAGTGAATACCATGATAAAATATATATGTTTATGTTTTCCTTTCTCTCACTTTTCCATCCATTCCAAACACAAAACAACCAATCCCCCTTACTCTTCATCCTTCTAACCAACACAAAAGAGGGAACGAATGTTTCTATCCTTGGAGTAGCAAGTGTATCACTCCTCCTTTCCTCCCTTCCATTTTTCCATCAATCCTACCAAACATGTCATTATATACTTAAAATATGAACCCCCCACCCTTAAAAAAAACAAAAGGAAAACAAAGTAGTCAACATCTTTCTTCATTCCTCCAATACAAAGTCTAAAATTTACCCATTGAAATCAGAATTTTCAGGGTCTATAAAACATCTTTTTCTACATATCATATTTTGCATCAATGCAAAATTTGAATGTTTTTGTCTAGTTATGTACATTGTTTATATATATATATATATATATATTTTTTTTTTTGTTTATATAGACCACTAGAAACAGAAAGTCATCAACTTCGGAAGGAACGCAGAAAAAAAAAAGCCTTACTTTTGCAGTTTTACTTCCATTGATCGACAAGGAGGAAATGTAATCAAACAAGGGCTCTTGGCACTCTCTGAGGTTGCAAGGAAGGGAAGGCCAATAGTTCATTTGAAGATTGATATTCAAGTGAGGAGCACAACTGGCGAAGAAGAAAAATGCAAGATTATTGAGTGATTGTCCACAAAATAAATTAGATGCAAGTAGACTCAGATATTAGAGAAAATTATAAAAATTTGTTCATATGTCATCAATACACAGACAAGAATCAAAATTTTGTTTCGGTGCATTGTTTCGGTCACCTAGAAAACAACAACGTTTTGACGTGTTTTGGAACATTGGTTATTTTTTGATCCATTTCGAAAATAGAATAAAAATAAATAAAGATTATTTTTTCAAAACATTGGTTAAAATATACCAAAATATCTTGAAATACCTTGAAACATTCCGAAATAATTGTGCAAATGCATTAAAATATAATAAAACATTTCGAAACAGTATGGAACACTTCGAAGTATTAAAATTTTGCTTCCATTACTGATTCGTTTCGGTCTTCTTGGGAACAAAAACGATTCGGATGTTTCAACCGTTTCGAAACGATATTTTGATTCTTCTACACAGAACAATCAATAATTAAGCTAACATCATCACTCCTGGTTCATTCGATCTCTCTCCCTCCCCCCTCAAAATTTTTTTTTTTTTCTCTTAATATCCCCTTGAAGCTTTATTTCCTATGCAAACCTTAAAAAATATTGATAAAAAAAAAGCTACAAATGTCAATGGTACACTAGATACTTACAGTTGGGCAGAAATCACCCAAGCAGAGAAATTAAAAAGCTGTCACACCAAAGGCATTGGGCTGAAAAGCACACCTTCGGCCAGAATTTTTAAACAGATGGAAGTTACTTCTAATGCATTTCAATTCCAAATTGTGCTCGACACTAAAAAACAGTTCATGAATTAAAATGTAGCCAGAAAGTCCTTGGTTTCAAGTTAACATGGATAAAGTTGCCCTACAAGTAGAAGAAAACATCAAATGATACCCCAGGATGCAGACCTGGTATGATGTATGAACTTTGTCATTATATTAGTGAAGACTTAACTTACGCTACCTTCAGGTGTAGGTGGGTAGTAGTAGCCAAGAGTGGTACAACACTTGAAATAAAACTGTTAAATTTTGAAGATAGAAGAAGATGACAAGAACATCCAAAAATGGGGAAATTTGGTTCTGCGAAAGGAGAAACCATCTGATATGTAAATAGCGTTACTGAAATCCAAACCGAGCGACATAAGGGGAACTGTTGTAGGAAAAAAAACACAAAATACCAAGAATAACCTAAATAGAAAGGATAAGAAAACAAGTTAAAAGAAGAAACAAATCCAGTACATACTCGAATGCTGGCTCTATATCCTTGTTCCATATTCCCTGCAGGTTTGCCACCTGAGTTCCAGGCCGTGAACAAGCAATAAGCAGATATCGACCATACTGGAATAAAAGCTCCACTAACGAGGGATCTTCGTCATTTTGAAAAGATTTCACCCTATCTGCAGTTGAAACTGTCTCATCTATATCATTTGGAGATGACCTATCTTTTGTAAGGCTCCTAATACTTTTGGAAAGCTGCAGTGATACCCGATGGAAAAGTTTTTGATAATCATGCAAATGGCGTGCATAAAGATCAGAATAAGACAAATTTTTTATTGAGTTCAACGTATTTATAGCCTCCAAAGTAGGATCTTTCTTTGAATCCAAAGGCTTGGTGAACAGCCCATCAAATGAAGATGATGCAGCTAGAAGCATAACAGCCCAATCTGAACCCTCAACCCTTAGCTTCCTGTCATCCAAAACATGTATCGCGCCCACACCATTACTGATCTGCAAATCAAGGACCACAGAAAATTGAATTCCCTTAGGATTATCGTTTTCTTCATTTGGTTTCGGAGGGATTCTTTTTCCAGGACAACTTCCTTCCATGACAATCTGATTTTTGACATTTACATGCGACTGATGATGTAGCTTGCTGTCTAACGACACCGTAAAGGACAGACATCCCGATTTGATTCCAGAAATCTTTGTCACAATCACTTGATCTGGATATGAGGCAAAATGTTCCCTTGTAAATTCTACTTCACCTACAGAATATTTTACTTCAACTGTTGCGGTATCCAAGTCCAGCTCTCTGTGATACATTTTTTCACCATATGCACTGTGAGAATCATCAAATTCTAGCTTGATATCGCCCAGAAGCTGGTAAACCTTGGTCATCATAAGAAAATCAAGGGTATAAGCTATAAAATAATTTAAAGCTTCCTCCAGAGGTGGATCTTCTGCTGATGTAAATGAGTAATGCCTCATAAATTCATAATTTAAGTTGGTCCAAGAATGTTACATTGAGCCTCAACTATTACATTAGTTTCTACTTACTACAACTGAAATCTTGCATATGCAGAGTGACAGCCTGATTGGGACACTCTAATGTTTGAGACTTAGAAAAGGAATGTATAATGGAATTTAACTGTTCCCAGAGGAAAATCTAGTCGTCTCATGAGACAAAAGCCAATTGAAAATTTCATTAAGAGTGTTCCACAAGTTCTAGTTTCAGGGACTCGAATCACAGCCCCAATTCTTAGGTGTTTATGCATTTACCAATCAAATCTACATGTACTGTGAATTGCTATCAGGATTGAATAATGGAAAGGCAATTCATCAATAGCAAGTTTTGTATGCTATTATTCAAGCTATTAAATGGAGAGAACTCGCTGTCCATACAAAATGACAAGGATTCATAATTGTATTCACTTGAGAGGGAATAGTGATAAAAGAAGTACTGGAACTCTTCAAATCTACAAGATTCAACACATCATATGTATAGATAATGGAGTAACAAAAACAAAGAGTCACAGGACTCACAGCTCCCAACCAAAAGGGCAAGGGGTCCATCCTTGCCAAAGCCAAACCGTGATTTCTTAGGTCCCCCTTTTTTGAGGTTCTATTATGCCGTATTTCGAACTCCTTTTCATCCCTCCATGTGTGCTTTGTACTATGCACTATTTGAAAACTAGAATAGTTGATTCTTTGTTGTGACAGTGATCTATCGATGTACATAATAACAGGGACAAAAAAGAGAGTTGCACCTTTTATGAAGGCAACGAAGGAGCATACCTCTGCAGGATCTCCAAACAACTTAAATGCTGCTGTAGTAGCTTCAGCATATTGGCCATCATCTACGAGTTTCCTGACCTCTGATAGCACCTCTGGAGCATCTGGGTCTGTGTAATTCCCAGGAATCCCAGTCCAAAGTGTGTCCTCTACCAAAATAAAATAAATTCATCAAAAAGTTAAGAATTACTATGATGATCAGTTTGACAAAATGATAATGCTGACGAACCCGTGACCTCCCCAAATCACAATAGAGCAACTTTACAGTTGCACTAAGACCCGCCCCTCAACAGACAAACAATAAAATACCTTAATTACGTTCCATTCACCTTAATCATTGTACTGCTGCTTGATTCTAAGGGATAAAAAAGTCTGGGGAAACAGGAAGTTACTATTTCAGAACTTCTATTATTTGGGATTCAAAGATTAACAAAGCTTCCGGTCACTAAACAACGCTAATGGTACCAAAAAAGTGATTTTCCAGCATCACACCAAAAATATTTTCCAGCCATAGATTTTTTCTTGATTCCTTTGCAGTATCACACCAAAAATATTGATGGTCATATATAAATTATTTCAATTTGTAACTAATTCTTATCTACGAGTTGTAATAGACTTTTAAACTTGTAACTTTTACAATCAAATCAATCATATTCGGTATAATTATAACTTAAGCCCCAAAAAAATTATAAATTAACCTTATAACTTTTGCCATAAAACCTCGCTCTTTCATAGTCTTCCTCTATTTCCAATATCCTACTATGCATTGCTTAAAACCCAAGAAACAATTGTACCAAAAGAAAAAAAAAACAGAAACAACAAAACCCATAAGACACAAGGCTGTTCTTTTTCTTTTATTTTTCTTTCCTTTCTTAGCAACCGAACAATAGCAGAAGAAAATGGGATGAGATTGTTCAATACCATTGAGATTGATAGTTTCAGAAGCAACGCCACCCCAAACCATAGCACCGAGACGGCCAGTACCAATGGGAAGAGCATCAGTCCAGTACTTTCCAGGCCCATTGAACCTGACCTTGAGAGGCCTCGAAACCTCTGTTTCTATCAAACTTGGGTTCCAGAACTCTTTCTCTGTGGGTGGTCGCACCAGAACCCAGTCATCATCTTCCATTGAAACCCAAGAAGAACTTGACCAAAAAATACAATCTTTCCAAGTCTCACTCTTCTGTACTTTCTCTGTGCTCCATAGTTTGAGGCGATCTTTTTTTATCTTTTCACTCTGTTTCTCTCTAACTCTCCAAAAGTGATGGTGCATTGATCTTTGAATTGAGGTGATGAGTGATTAGCACCAAGAAGCAAACAGAACATAAAGGGCGGTTGGTAGTGAGTGAGCATATAATATGTACAGGCAGTACAACAAGGAAATGGCCACCCCAACCGTTCCGTTCAATCCAACAAGGCCATGTACTGCTAACTGTTGGGTCCCACATTTTCGGCATTGTCTTTACTCTTGACCTGCCTCCTATAATTTTTTTAGAGGCATGGTAATTCAATTTAATTTATTAATTTGATTTGTTAATCTAATGAATCTCTATTATTTGATTGATAATTAATTTTCATATTAATTGAGATCCGCTATAAATTTTATAGTTTTGATATAGTAAATTAGAAAATAAAGTCACCAAATTATATCAAAATAACATATTCCTTCTTTTAAACTTCACTCAAGTTTCGTGACAAAATATTTAATACAAAGTTGATACTACGTTACCAATATCATAGGTGTTTGAAGTGACTTTTTAAAAATATTTTTACGAATTATTTCTCATAAGTACTTTAAAAAAAAATAGTGTTTGAAACCACCACTACCTCTATCATCGCCACTATTGCCACCACCACCACCACTGTCACCGTCGCCACCACCACCACCTCCCCCGCCACTACCCCCATCATCACCACCATCGTTGCCGCCGCCACCACTGTCGTCCCCGCCACTAATACTGCCGCCACCGCCATAGTCATTGTCACTCACCACAACCATCACCGTCTCCGCCCTCCACCTCTCCCCTCCATTACAAACAAATACTTAAATTCTTTTATCTCTTATCTATGTTTGTAATTTGATTATGAATACAAATATATTTATTGTTTATCATTTTTTATTACTCTGTGTCTTCAGGCACAAGCTATAACTAATAATATTATATTTCAATAATAAATAAATAAATTAAACTTTACTAATCCAATGTATTAATTATTGGTTATTATTAAAAGTAGTGGGTTTCACTTTATATATTTTTTATTTATAATTAGATTAGTTATTGCACATGTGTGTTGCACGTGAATTATTTTCAATTAATCTTAAATTAAAATTTATCTATATTGATATATATATATATTAGTTATTGTCTGTGCCTGAAGGCACAGAGTAATAAAAAATGATAAATAATAAATATATTTGTATTCATATTTAAAATCAAATCACAAATATAGAAAAAATATAAAAAAATTTAAACATCGGTTTGTAGTAGGGGTAAGAGGTGGTGAGCGGCTATGATGTTCGTAGGAGACGGTGATGGTTGTGACGGGTGACAATGACCGTAGTGGTGGCGGTGATAGTGGTGGTGGTGGCGATGACAATGGCGGTGGCGACGGTGGCAGTGATAGTGGTGGTGGTGGCGATGACAGTGGCGGTGGCGGTGGTAGAGATAGTGGTGGGACTGTTTGAAACACTATTTTTTAAAAAGTATTTATGAAAAATAGTTTTTAAAAATATTTTTAAAAAATCACTCCAAACGCACTCTTAGGGGTCTATTTTTCCTATTAAATTCAGAATGTTAATATTCGCCGTTAGATTAACTTTATAACTTTAAAGAGAAATTTAAAACGATCTCAACCGCGAATAGCAAAAGTCATTTTGTTTATTTTTTGAGATTTAAATTGTAAATTACTTTATTATTATTATATATATATATATATTAATAATTTATTTTGATTAATCACCTATGCTATTATAAACTTCCTGTAAAGAGAATGCATTGAATCTTTTCTTCGTAATGTTGCTTACGTGAAGTTTAGAATATAGCACATGTGAACTCTCAAATTTTGATAGCACTTGAACTATCAAATTGCCTCTAAACCTTCTGTGTTATTCTTTAGAATACAAAATTATACTTAATGAACTCACAAAATGCTGATGCTAATATTAAGTTTATTCAAACGGGACATTATCTTGGCTCACGCAATTTGACGGGTGATTTCAAGGTGTTGCTTCAATTACATCATCTCATAAGTGCAAAATCATAAAACTATGAAATATTTTAGATGAGTCTTCACTTCAAAAATCATTCATGAGATGATTCTTAATAAATGTTATTCATGTATCACCTTCAAGTATAAAGAAAGAGGGGAATAATAAATTATTAATTTTATATTAAAACTAAATCAATTATCATATTCGAAATCTGCTTGAATTATTTAAGTGCCCATTTAGATTTCATGAAATTATAGAGTGCTCATGAGGTACTCTAATTTAATGGTTTGTAGTCATTCATATGACGATAAGAAAGAGGTTAATAGAATTATAATAAGTTTTACTTTGCCAACCTCCTTCAAGACCTTTTGTTTGTCTACATCCATTGATCAAAGCTTAATAACAATGGAACACACGGTAGCTTCCAAAAAAGGGTTTTTGCAACACAACACTCTTTATATACTATACTACTATGTATCTTTTTTTTTTTCTTTTATTATGTCTTTGGCTGAGTTTTTTTTGTTTGAAAAGTAATTAATTTAATTAAACAAAAGAAATATTGGGATACTTACAAAATGATACATACAATTCAAAAAACAAAAAATTTGTGAGATAACAAATCATCTATTTCAATTAGGGCTGTTAGTCAAACTGAGATATCCGAGCTTGGCTTGAGTTCAGCTCGAATTTGGCTCTTTCAGGCTCGATTTATTTTATAAACGTGCTCGAACTTGAACAAGTTTTTAGACTTGTTTAGAAAACAAACCTTACAAGCTCGGCTCAAACTCGACAAACTCGACTCGTTTATATGCAAATACTCGGGCTCCGCTCGTTCAGGCTCAGTTCGTTTCCTAAACGAGCCGAATTTGAACAATTTTTAAAGTTCGATTAAAAAACAAACTTTTCAAGCTCGGCTCGAATTCGACTCGGACTCGTTCGACTAACAACCCTAATTTCAATTGTAGATGATGTTTCATCCACTAAATTAAAACAAAATATTTGGACACGACTAAACACAATATATAATATATTTATAAGGATGCTGAGACAGTTTTTAGAGACATTATGGATTGCTGCTCTTATCTGGGTACTATTTTTTTCCTAAGTTGCCGGTTGTATTGCGATCAACATTTAAGTTACTCAATTGTACTCTATTTTCATCATTTTTTACTCTGCTAAAAAACACTATATCAATGTGGTGATGTATTGTTGTTGTTGTTTTTTTTGGGTCAGGGTGGTGTATTGTTGAATATCTAATTTGACATTATTTTGTCTATCATTTTAGTTTTGCCAAAATTTATATAAGGACTTATGAATTTCAACATAATAACATATTTTATTCCTTTTGAAATATAGAATTTAATTTTATAGGCTCTAAGGTAATATAATTTTGTGAGAACAAATTAGGAAAGTAATAAAACATTATTTTATGCCGGAAGAAAAAAAAATGAAAGCACAAAAATAACTTTTAGGAAAGTAAAAAAAATAACAAATAATAAAATAACATTTTGGGTAAATTACACTTACATCCATGACATTTTATTTTATTACACACACACCCTCTCACGTTTCAAAAATTATACTGAGACCCCAATAGTTAGACGGAGTTAACTATCTTAATAAAAAAATCATTTTGCTCATTTATTTAACACAAACTCAACCTAAACCCCAAACCTTATCCCTAACCCCTAACCCTATCCCTAACCCTTAACCTTAATCTTCATCGTCATCTATACAATGCTCTATCTCTCTTAAGGCGAAGAACTAGTTCAAAATCATTAGTCTTTTCTCTCTCCCTCATTCCTTGTGTGTGTGCGCTATATTTATAATAGCCCAAAATTGCAGAAGAATTGGGGAAAATTGCAAACCCTCCCCACCATTGTAGCACCTCTTTAGTAGCCACCCTATCCAGTGATAGTTCGTTTTTCTGTGAGAAGGCCAATTTTTCGGAGCTCTTTGTAGAGCTCACCACCATGGACATACTCTAAAATCAGGTAAATTCTCTATGAATCATGAAAACCAAGCTCACCACCAATTGTTTATGTGTATACTGCAAGGACCTTTGTTTTTGGGGCTTTTTTTCAATTTGGGAATGCATTTGTTGGGAATTGATTCAGAGCCACGATTGAGGATTGGAGGTATGTGAGTGTGTGTGCATGAGAGAGAGAGATAGAAGAAATGAGAAGAAGAGGAGGAGGTGGTGGTGGTGGTTTTTGTGGTGTAGAGGCGACGAGGGGGTGCCATAATTGAGGATTGGAGGTATGTGTGTGTGTGCGCATGAGAGAGAGAGAGAGGAGAAGGGGGAAGAAGAAGAGGAGGAGGAGGTGGTGGTTGTGGTTTTCATGGTGTGGAGGCGACGAGGGGGTACAGACGCCAATTGATGGTTACACCAAATAGAGGGGTGAGTTGGTGGTTGATTCGTGGAAAGTGGTTATGGATCATGGTGTTTTTGGGAGGTTGTAAACGGTTTTGATTGAGTGGGATTTTGTGTTTGAGGTTGGCGGTGTAGTTGTGGTGGAAGTGATTATGAACATATTTGTGTAGTGGTGGCGTTGATTCAAGTCGTAGTTGTATGGCGGGTGGCAGTGCAACTGTTATTTGTCATAGGTGATGGTGGTGGAAATTCTTCATGGTGATGGTAAAATTTGGTAGTTTGTTGGGTTAGTGCATAGGTGGTTTGGATGCTTTGTTGGGGATTTGGGTGGTGGCTTAGATTGGATATGAACATTGGTAAATCTCAAAGATATATGAGGGTTAAAAAAATATTTTTAATGAAATTGTTAACGTCTGTTAGACAAAAGGAGTGCAGCTGTCACACGTGTTCAATTGTAAGGGGTTTCACTGTAATTTTTGAAACATGAGGGGGTGTATGTGTAATAAAATCAAATATTGGGGAGTGTGAGTGTAATTTACCCTAACATTTTCTTTAGTCGGTGTAGAACTCGGTGCTTATAATTCCACCCGTTGGCGCTCCATTTAAACGGAAACTTTTCTTGCAAGCTTCATAGGCATGCTCACTCATAAATTCCCAAAATCCTCATACTCTCGTGAAATTATTGAGTCTTTGTTGATTATTAGTTCATTCTATTTTAACTTTTGAAGATGAGTTTCGATTCGAATCGTTCTGTGAAATCTAAGGGAAGTTTCAATTCGAATCCTTCAAATAGTAGCAATAATACTGCTACAAACAATAGGAAGACGAAAAAGACTAACCAGAAAACCTTAGGTGTGGCTTGGGGCGCGAATTCTCGATCTTCATCTCGTTCGTCTTTTCGCGATTCACCCTTTTCCGATTTCGGCAGGTATTCTCTCTGTCTTTATTATTTTTTGTTGGGGCATGTTTAATCTTTTTGATGATTTCTTTTAACAACTTCGAAATTCTAGTTACATGACAGTGAAATCTTTTTGATGATTTCTTTTAACAACTTCGAAATTGTAGTTACATGACAGTGAAGAATCGGAAATTACACGAACAATTTGATGCCGATGCTTCGACGTCTTCCCACAGCGGCTCAAGTGTAGTCAAACCTATTTTTCATGGGGTTTCCATTTTTGTCGATGGATTTACTATTCCTTCCAGTCAGGTTTGTGTCGATGAAGTTGAGAATTTTATATTTTATCTTCTATTTGGTTAGGGCATCCAAATCTTTTTACTCTGTTGCACACTCGCACTTCCTTCTGTTTAGAAACCAAATTGTTGGTACTATGGAGTTTCGATGTCATTCCATTCTGTTTTGTACAATTTTCTTTGATAGCAGTAAATGGGTAGTTTTCTTTTAAGCGGGTGAGGGTTCTTGCCAACCATGTTGATATGGAGTTTTCTCAGGAGCTACGAGGTTACATGTTGAAGTATGGAGGGCGATTTGAGAATTATTTTTCAAGGCATAGTGTTACACACATAATTTGCAGCCATCTTCCAGGCAGTAAAATCAAGAATCTACGGTTTATTTTAAATTTTACCAACTATTGCATCCCTGATTGATTTGTTTGTGTTCTGGTCTTTTATGATTCTTACTGCTGAAACATGTTGATACAGGGCCTTTAGTGGTGGGCTCCCAGTTGTGAAACCGACATGGGTGTTGGCTTGTGTCGAAGCTAATAAACTTTTGAGCTGTAAGTTCTATTGATTGGTTGTATGATTTTAATTTTAGTTTGCTATTTGCTTTCTCTTATTGGAGCACCAAAAGGAACCAGAAAGGGAAGGGAAAATGTTACATGTTGATTACAGGAGGAAGCATTTTTAAGATTCTTCTATCATGTTTTACATATTTATTTTGTCCTGGAGAAGATTGTACGGGATTGGACACATGGATCATGAAATAGGTCTATCATCTTGAAGTTCAAGGAAGAACCATTGAGTTTTTTTTAGCATAGGAGTGTGTCAGCTCATTTTTTTTTTTTTTCTCTCGTCCCTTTTGTTTTACAATATTGGGTGCTCTGTAATGAAGACTATCATGTTATGCTTCTTCATATCTGAGGGTTAGTTGGTGATGCTCAGTAATCCAAGATTTATGAATGTGTAGCTCTTTTGTCAATAGAATCATTACAATTCGTTTCTTGCTAACTGCTTCTAGGGAGTTCTTATCAACTTGATCAGCTTGCTAGTGAAACTTCTAACCAGCCTAAGTTATCAGCCTTTTTCGCTTTGAGAAGCAACCCAGTTTCCGATGTTGCAGCAACCTGTGCTACTAGTCGACTAAATTCTGAAACAGAGGATCCATTGTTGAAGGGTGGCACAATGAAGGACGCTAAATTGTCTATGGAGGGTGAATCCACAGAACACACAAGGCAACACTTTTCAGGACCTAATGACCTTTTGCATGAGAACTCTGGCGAAGAATTATTTGGAGAGCCAACTTGCAGAAATGGAAGCGATTGTGAGGTGAACATGAATGAACCAGGTGATGTTGCTAAGGTCGATCAGAGCAGTGTTGAAATTCAACCTCAGTGTAGTCCCTGTAGAACTTCTGCTTCAGTTAGTAGCTACTGCTTAGACAATCAACATACTAAAGAATTATCAAGTTCGACAATTGTCCAGCGTCATTCAACTCTTGAGGACCCCAATTTTGTGGAAAATTATTTCAAGGTAAAAAGATTGAAATGAGAATTGTCCATAATTATTATCTTTTGCATTGATTCTGTTCAACCCATATTTGATGTGTTGATTTACATCGGCTTTTGCACAAAGATGTACATATTTTCTATTGGTTTTGCAAATGCCGCTATGAAACATGTGGAAGCTCAAAAGAATTCTTGGCTGTCATTGAACTTCTTTTTCAATTTAAATTGTAATTTGGCTGTGCTAATATAGTTTCTTTTATGAATATAACAAAGGAGAAGTCATGAAAACAAATTTGCATGTGTAGAGAACAGAAAGAGAAAACTAGAGAGAGAGAGAGAGAGAGAGAGAGGGAGAATTTGTGTGTGTGAGGAATCAATATGTCAGCCATTCTACATTTCTACCTTCTGAGTAAATTTATTTAGCTTTGAATTATTGCCATAATGGAAACGCTTGCGTGGGTATAGCGGTGTTTTTTAAGAGTGGGAAACTGACACATATGGACAAACTCTTTTCATTTCCTGTTTCCAGTTCCTTCTTCTGCAGCCTTGTTACCCTTTGAAGAATTTCTAATTGTAGGCCTGTTGACTTGCTTTCATTGGACTATCCTGTTTCTCTATTTTGTCTACTTCCTTCATCATAGTAATTCCCCCAGGCTTCAATTTTAGTTGAATCAGTAGCTCTTTTTTTTTTCTCCAGAAAATCTTGACATGCATGTGTTACAGTGCATGGTAATAGTTATGTATGCTCAATAATGTGCTGCTATTCTCTATTGTAATAATGTTGAAAAGTAATTAAGTGGGGCCTTGTTCTAGACCATCCTCAACCGGATTTGGCTTTTGCAGTACTCTAGGCTGCATTTCATTGGTACTTGGAGAAATCGGTATCGTAAGCGTTTTCCCCATTTTTCTAAGGAATTCAAATGCACAAGTCCCAATATTGGTGCTTCCTCTGTGTCTCAGAAGACTGCGATTATCCACGTGGACATGGTAATCTCTGCATTCTGGGTTTGTAAATTTTGATTTAGCTGCCTTCTCTTCTCTTTTCTTTTTCTATGTAAATTGGGGGTAACTGCTCTTTTACGGTAAGTATTTAGGAGCAATATCACAATTGCACTTGTAAAATGGGAGGGGTAATTTATTTAACAGTTCCTGGAGCAAAGTTTTCCTTAGCGAACATTGAATATTGGTGTTGATGATTATATTATGTTTCAGGATTGCTTTTTTGTCTCAGTGGTCATCAGGAATTTTCCTGAATTACGGGATAAGCCTGTAGCTGTTTGTCATTCAGATAATCCACGTGGAACTGCTGAAATCTCATCTGCAAATTACCCTGCTCGAGATCATGGTTAGTCCTTGTGTTGAGTAATGTCCATTCCATTCAGATTTTCGATGCATGTTCCAAGTCTTTTATACCGTTGTGTAAATGATAAGTTGTGTTTTTTCAGGAGTACGGGCTGGAATATTTGTTAGGGATGCCAAAGCTCTTTGTCCTCATCTTGTCATTTTTCCTTATGACTTTGATGCTTATGAGGAGGTATACATTTGTGGAGTACTTTTAAGTGTTGAATTTCATTTATATGGATGAGGAAATGCTACTCACTTTCTCTTTTTATATCATTTTAGTTATATGGGATACTTGAACTTATACAATATATTGGACTATTTTGCAGGTGGCCGATCAATTTTATAACATCTTGCACAAACACTGCAACAAAGTGCAGGTCTGCCCGTGGAAATGCCTTTCTACAAACCACACATTTGCTTGTTGTATTGTTCTTGAATAGACAACATTTACAAATACAGGCTGTGAGCTGTGACGAGGCATTTTTAGATGTCGCAATGGCAGATGTAGAAGACCCTGTGATTTTAGCTTCAATTATCAGGAAGGAGATTTTTGAAATTACAAAATGCACTGCAAGTGCTGGAATAGCAGGGAATATGCTTATGGCACGCCTTGCCACGAGAAGTGCTAAACCGGATGGTCAATGCTACATTCCTCTTGAGAAGGTACACGCTCATCAATGTTCAATATTGTTTAATATGTTCTATTTACTTAAATATTTGGATGTTCCTTGGGCCCTAAAATTTTGTGGCGAGTCTAGTGTTTAGATTTTCATAATCAATGATTGCCCAAACCTTGTTAAAGTTTTCTGGAAGCCACTGATTCTTTGGTCATTTCCCTGGTTGTGCATATGTTTTCATGCGTGACAATCACGAGCACCGGCTAATTCATTGTCAAGCTGATCATTTTGTTGCTTTTGTTACCTGTAATCAATATGTGCGCTGAGAGGGAATTAGAAATTCAAGAATACAATTGGAAGATCAATTTTTTTTGATGTAGGCAAACTAGTTTAAAAGCAGAATCCAAAGAAGAGTAGAGAAGGTTGTGTAAAATGACCTGGAAATATAACAGGGAATGAGAATAGAGAACATAAATAATGGGGAAAAGAGGATGATAGTCACATGTTACTATCCTGCGATGCTTGTGATTTCATTATTTGAAAGGAGGAAGTGTGAGAGGGGAAAGCCTGGTGTCACACCTAAAAGGTAGAAAGAGATTGGAAGGTTCCTATGCTTCACCCCCAATAGATGATGCTCAACATCACAAACAATAGAGTTCAACTATCTCTTTATCCTTTTGTTATGACCCATGGCCAAGAGCCTAACATAAATGGCAGCCCACTAATATGGACCATAGACCAAAACTACTAATGTGTCCTTGTGTCAGTATAGGGACTCCACTTGATTGAAACATGAACAATACAATAAATAACTGAAAATTTGCTCGTGTGCATCATTGATTGAGATTAAGTAAAATTTCCAACTCCCTAATGCCTATTTTCCTTGAGGATATTTTTTGGATCAGTTACAGTCTGCATGAACTCATTTTACGTATGAAATTGATACATTGTGCTTCCAGCGATGCATCTAGGTTTATCCTGCCAAGAGTAGCATACATTTATTTGCCCATTGGGCATGTTTTATTTTCTTCGTGGAGGGAATTCTAAGGTAATTTGTTTAACTTATAATTATATCCATCTCACAATACTGTTGGTCTTTTACATACTGAGTGATAATTTATTGTTTTGTCCATTCATTTTATTATGTATGGAATTGATAACAGTCCTACTACTTTTTTTGTGCTTTCTTTATTGTAAAGTTCCCACCACCCTATAATTTAATGCTTTCTTTATTTTAGCCAGCATTTTCTGAAGAAGATTTGAACAAATTTTGGATGACTAATGTTTTATCACCTTACAGTTTGTGATGTATTTCAGGTGGATGATTATTTGAATGAACTTCCAATCAAGGCACTTCCAGGAATTGGTCATGTTTTGGAGGAAAAATTGAAAAGGAGGCAAGTTAAAACTTGCGGACAACTGCAAATGATTCCCAAGGTTTTCTCTTGTTACATTTATGATATCAATTCTTCTGCTCATGTGAGCAAATGTTGAGTAGATGGTGATATTTAATAATTGCCTTGCAATTTTTGTTTTGGCTATCTTACCCAGCATCTTCCTGCTACTGTAATGACTGTTTTCTTGGATTAGATTGAGTTTTTGTGAGTACTACCCATTCCCAGGTCTGCTTTGGTTTTCTATCTTCTACGGTTTTGTTTATCTTGTACTTTGTACCTTTGTCAAAGGTTAAGTTATTATTGGTTCCGATTACCATGGATTGGTGTTCAGTTTCTTTATTGTTGGAAACATGGAGCAAAAATTGACCCTTATATTGTTGTTATTGTTTGGTGGTATTCTACCCTTCATGATATGTTCCTTACTGCAGCATTAAGGAACCATGATATGTCATCAAGAAAAACAATATTACTATGTGGAACAAGATTTTTTTCTAGATTTGGATCTAGATATCGTGCATGCTTCAAGGGTCAGTTACACGTATTGCCTTCTATAAGAAGAAGGGTGACAAGGAAAGAAGCACAAACTCGTATATAGTAAACCCTATCGGCAATTTGTCATAGTGTTGTCCCTATACCTTGTCAATGTATTAATACAATCCTTGCAACCGGACAATCTTTATTCCCCATTTGAATAAACGTACTCCTAGTTACAAAACATTTCTCCTCTTGCTTTTTCTTTCCCTTTATGTCTCACTTTCTCTCACTCATGAATGGCCACTCACCCATCTCCACCCCACATGCGGATCAAATTGATACGACCAAAGCAATTGTTGCTCAAATTAACCACACCACATTAGTTCCTTTGCAATTTATTTGGTCACATCAAGGCTCTACCAGGAATACTTTCTATTCTAATATGCGTTGATTAATTGTGGGATTGATATCATGAAACTGTGCATGTTGTGTGAACGAGTAGGGATGATATCAGTAATGTATAATTGTTTGAAGCCTGTGGTGAATTATGTTTTGGGAGGTTGTGCATGCTGCTTGATGGTTTGGATGAGTATGTTGCGTATGTCTTAATTTTTAACTGGAACTAAGTAACAGGATTGGTCAGTGAAAGCCTTAAGTGCATATACTAAAATCTTCTTTTCTATATGAGACTTGAATTTCATCAATTGATGTCTCTAGAGGTCTGGTGCATTAGCTCTATGTCAATTATTTTCGTATTGTTGGATGTGCGATAGCTTTTGTTGAAATTCTTGTAAGTGATGTATCAGTGAATTATTTGATTGGGTGTTGCATAAAGGTAGTCTTTCGTCCTTGTAATGCTTCTTACTGTACTAGCTATTGATGTTTGTTCAAAACCAACCAAACTACTCTAAAAGCTTAAAGCTGTTAGAGAAGGTGTAAGTTAAGTATATATATTTCAACACGCCCACTCGTGTGCAGTCTAGTTTTTGGGCCTGGTACATGAAAACCTTTTAATAATTAGGGTGGTGGCGAGCCTCAAGACCTGCTGCCCTAATTCTATGTTAACTAACTACTCTAAAAACTTAAGTTGGTAGAGAGGGTGTAAGTTAAGTATATATACTTCTAATGTGTGGAAGTATCTAGTAGGCTTTTCTATGTGTTATTGGCCAAGATCCATGTGAAGTTTTTCTCAAAATCGTGCTTGATTGTTATGCTATTGGAATTATATGTTATTTACTGTGCACCTTTTTCTTGGCCTTTCCAGGAATCTCTTCGAAAGGATTTTGGTATTAAAACTGGTGATATGCTTTGGAGTTATAGTAGAGGGATAGATAATCGGCTGGTTGGAGTTATTCAGGTTTGGTAAATAATGTTATCTTATTTGAATGGTTAGGCACCTTATAAGAAACATCCTATTCCCCCACAATAGTCTATGATTGCCGATTTAAGCTGCATACCTCTCTGCAGAATAGCCATATGCTCCTGTGGAAAATTGACCCATCTGTTGTTCGGTCATGCCAACTATTAACATTAACTAGTGTCAGGAGTTCATCATCAATTGTTTTTGATTCCTATACATGATTACATCTTATTGGACTATCAACATTAGTGCTAACCCCCTATGATTGCTAAGCCAAAAAGGACAAGTAAATGCACTCCCATGTAATTATCCTGTTTTAGTTTGACATAAAATATAATATGAACGACGTCCTGGGAGTTGGGCCGAATTAGGATGCCAGGAAGTATTATATTGACATGATTCCCAAAACGAAGATAAAGGGGAAAAAGGAAAAAATGGACTAGGTTGGAACTGACAGAAGATCCACAATATCACATGGAAAGTCTGATCTTATAATCTTGTATCAGAGAAAATTGTTGGTGTGGATGTGTGGTGTTGTGGATGGTAGTGGTTGAGAGAAGTTTTGGGTTGCGGTGCATTATCTCGAAACATTGGACTGCAATTTAGGGAACTCAATCTTACTAGGTCTTGTATAATATTTGCATTGCTTGTTTATTGAGGTTAATCTAATGTCTATCTTTGCAATATTAATTTTTTACCTTTATTTCTGCCCGTGTACACTTGACATTCTCTGTAGGAAAGCAAGTCCATAGGTGCTGATGTCAACTGGGGTGTGAGATTCAACGATTTGAAAGACGTATGTATTTTGTTCTAGAAGCCACTACCCCCCTGTTTTAATTTGTTTAACTGTTGACATTTGTTGATTTCAGAGTCAACATTTTCTCATGAACCTTTGCAACGAGGTCGCATTGCGTTTACAGGGAAGTGGAGTACAAGGGCGCACTTTTACCCTGAAGGTTTTCCTCATAATGATCCTTGCAATTGAACATTCTCACTGTTTAATTTCTGAATTTGGTTTATACTGTCAAGATTTCCTAATAACTTAATAGCTGTTTTGCTGTTATTTATGTTATTACTATAATATCTCATGAGCTAAGATCAAGAATTCTCTGGTCAATGCGATGCATTGGTTTAGATAAAGAAGCGAAGAAATGATGCTGGGGAACCAAGGAAGTATATGGGCTGTGGGGACTGTGAGAACCTGAGCCATTCTACAACGGTAGCAATTGCTGGAAGCATATCTTACTACAGCGTTATATTTTTCACTTTATTCATCTTTAGAAGTTTTGATCTTTGTATCTCATTTTTTAACCACATTGGTTAAATGATAGGTTCCAGTGGCTACTGATGAAGTGGAAGTTCTCCAAAGGATAACCATACAGCTCTTTGGGTCTTTCCACATAGGTAAGTTACTTTTAACTAATTCTTATTTCTCTTCTAGGTAATAAGGACAACAACTTTCTAGTTCTTTTCCTTTTTGTCCCCCTCCAAATCAAAAATGCAATTAAATCTCTGTGAATGTATGGATTTTGAGAAGGTGAAGATTAGAAATTAATGTGCTTTTTGTTCGAACCTTGAAGGGGTGCCAAATTAGGATAATACAAGTGGAGTTCACCTGTAATTATTGATCATGCAAATTGAGACCAAAAAATGCAGAAGGAAAGATGATCGATTTAATTTCTGTGAGGGGGACTACTAGGACCAGGGGACTTAAAATATTGTGAAAGAATGCTGGTATACGTGGTGAGAAAAGAAGCGATGCCAATGATCCAACAAATGCTCTGGTGATATAGATTTAGATCATTGTGTATAGGTTTATTTGCAATTATATCCTTTGACTTCTGATAAGATCTTTCTTGACTGTGAATTAATAAACAAAGCTTTGCCTAACTTTAAGGGTTGATACTTATCTAGCCCAGTTGATACTTTTTTCATGGTTGCTTGAGAGATCGTAATTATCAGGCGTTTTTTTTATTATCAATTTTACTAGGCTGACAGTGAGCACTATTAAGCAGGGTTTTAACTATGTCAGACCGATACAAACTACCTTGGGCTTTAGGTAGTTCTTTTTTTTGGGTGTGTGTGTGTTGTTGTGGGGGGGGGGGGGGGGGTCTGTCATGCCTCATTTGAAGTTTTTGTTAGGACTAATCAATTTGGCATTGGGGTTGGAAATCGCAATGTACGCATATTGTTTGTTGTGTGCTATAGCAATTTTGAACCTGTTTATTTTGTAGTTCTTTTGTCTGCTCTTCTGACTTGTCTAACTTTAACCTGTGATTATTTTTATGCAGATGTCAAGGATATCCGGGGAATGGGCTTACAGGTTTCCAAACTTGAAAGCACAGATACTACCAAGCAAGGTTTGTGTTTTGTGATTCTGAATAGCAGTAACCTGTAGGTCAACTGCTGTTTATATTGGTGTTTGCAATATGCTGCCTTGTTCTTCTACATGGTTGTTGTCCATTGCTTGATGAATCTTTTACAATCTTGTTGTCTTTGATAATCTCTAAAATTCAACACTGTGTATTGACTTTGGATTCAAGCGCACGAAAGAAACACTATCCGCTCTTGGCTCGTATCTGCCTCAGCAAGCACCAGAGAACCATGTAAAATAGATGACCCTGCCAAAGAGAGTGCCAATAGAGGTATTGTGAATATTTTTTTTTTCCTGATGAATTTTTTACAGAAATTGAAGAATTGATGTTGCTTGCGTATTGTTATGGTCTAATCCAATCGTGCGAGGTTGTGCAGCTCGAAATTGAATGTGGATATTGCAGCACTCCCATGCTAAATATTGTGATCTTAATCTAAAATGCTGATTAGGGTCCATGGTAGTTGGGATGCATTCTTCTTGTCATCGTATTTATTTTTTATTTTCATAACCTGGAAAGTTTTTGCGTGTTGGACTGTAAATATTGCTCCTGCTGATTAATTAGTATATTTACTGTTCAATGCATCTTTTTGAACTAGTACAAATGGTGCACCTGCAACATACCTAGTTATTCAATCAACTAGCATTTATAGATAGGCTTTATTTAATATTTTACTGTGAACTTCAGTTCAAAATATCTTTTGACTTTGAAACTTCTTTGTTTTTTTTTGTTTTTTTGGAATTACTAAAATATGCTCAGTTTTTGAATTGATTTCTTTTGAGGAGAATTTTAAACCGGTGCATTTCTTCTTTTAATTAACTTCAAGCTCCCAAAACTTTAATGTGACAAACTTGGAAATAATGCTCAACCCGTAGTAGAAGAGGGTCGTGTGCAGGGAAGGGGAAATAGAGATATTTATGTATATGCCTCTAGAGATATTTATGCATGTCTTATATTTATAAATTATTCTGCTGTTGAGTTGATTAATTTAAGATTAACTGGAATTTTACGTCTTTCCTTGATCTTGTCATGTGACAGATTTTGAGAAACAGAGTATTGATGGAAACTTTGTTCAGTTGTGTAATGATTCAAGTGGGCCTTCGGTTAATCTGTCCAATGGCAAAGCTCGTGTAAACCATGATTCAACACTGCCACCTTTATGTGATCTAGATATGGGAGTTATAGAGAATCTCCCTCTGGAACTTTTTTCAGAGATTAATGATATGTATGGTGGGAAGTTGTTTAGTTTCATTTCAAAAAATAAAGGCGAAAGTGTTGATGTTGGTAATCTGTCTACTACAGTAGTTGAAGGTAACTTTTCCACGCTAGTTGTTTAGAGCAGATTATGTGTGGTTTTTTTTTTTTTTAACAATTGCCTGATTGACATGTTGATTAGGCAATGTAGGGGTAATGAGCAAGGGAAAGGGACCTCTTCTCTCTCATCTGGCCCCTTCAATTAAAATCTTTACAGATAATGAGGTATTCTTTGTTATCAAAGCTTGTTTCTTTTACAACATTTTGTTCCATTTCTCTTCTTTTAGTGTGCTGTTTTGTGAAATCAGTTAAAGAATCCTGTAGTGCTGCATACATTATTGCATGTTTTCACCGTGGTTAGGATTATTTTTTTTTCTGTTGGGCTTGTCCCACTCTGTTGCCTACCCTTAGATAGGTCTGATTGGACTGAAGAGGCCTGAATCAGGGTTCCAACTCTTGCTACATTTTGGGTCCTTACAAACATACTTGGTTGGACTCTTAGTCAAGTTGGATTTGGATTTAAGTTGAACATGGTTCCGGTCTAAGAAGTACGGACACGGATACGGGACACAGATACGACATGACACAGACATGCTGACATGAAATTTTTCAAAAAGTAGGATACGGAAACGTGACGTTGAGGTATGTAAAATCATGTAATGAAATAAAAATATTATCATAATAAAAAATACAATATAAGATATATTGATACACATTTAACATTGACATCCATGATCTAACAATTAATGACTACTACAACTTTTCATTTTCAAAAATATTCTTCTCTGTAACACTAATTTTCATCAATTTCAAAGAGTCCCAATTTTGTAACCCCATTTTTTTTTTCATGTTACTTTCATATTACAAGTTATTTTCATTTTAAAAGTTCTTTTCATTTGTATAGGAGTTCGTATTCGTATCCAAAATTATGTTACATACTTACATTCATGTCTTATATTCAATGTAGTGATTATAACTCCTTTTATATTGTAATTTTGACTCATATTTATTTAAAATTACAAAAATAACTATTAATTATTTAGTTATCTGAAAAGTTTTGAGCATGTTGGTCGTGTGTCCTCAACATATCCTGAGTGTGTACCTAACGTGTCTTGACCGTGTTGGCCGCGTGTCCCCAACGTGTCCGAAAAATATTTAACAATAAAAAAATTGGACACTCATTTTAGCGTATCCGACATGTGTCAGAGTCATAGTTATCAAATCGTGTATTGGAAGACGTATCGTTTTTTAAAAAGTGTATCGTATAGTGTATCGTAAATACGGTGCAATTTTAAATAAATAATAAAAAAATATATATACCTTTGAAAAAAAATCTTACACTCATAAAAATATATCATTTCATTCATACTTCACCGCCTATTCAAGTCATCAACATAGTTTACTAATATTATAATGCAAAGTTTACGACCATAGTTCACTAATTCAAACTTCAAACCCCAAAGAGACTTTTAATCCAAATTTCTAACATTCATTTTGAACTCAATCCATAAAATTAATCAAGATTCAGAAATTTTTATATATAAAAAAAAAATTAGTGTCTTATTTAGACAAAACGACGTCGTTTCAGAGAAAAAAAAAAAAAAAAAATAGGTTTTGCGCGTACCGGTCGTATCATATACGTATCGTAAAAACATATCGTGCATCGGATGATACGATGCAAAAACGATACATAACTACGATCCGTATCGTTTTACTTCTGTATCGTAACGTATCGTACGATACTCACAACTATGGTCAGAACTTATCCGAAGAGTGTCTGTGTCCGACACCGGTATTCTGGCCAAAATGATGTGTCCATGCTTCCTATATTCCAGTGTTATGCTGGATTTTTTTGGTTTTTGAAACAGATATAAAGCTTCTGCGTCGGATCAGCCCCAATTATTTTTACCCGGAGCATGGTCTTTGTCGTCACTACCACAGTCTAGTTTGAAACCTAATATTTCTTGTGCTGATTTACTCTGGTGCTTTTGCTAGGGAAAGTGTAATACAGGTAAAGAAATTCAGGAAGTACCTCTTTCTGGTTTAGGGACCTCAAATGTGGGTACCTCTACTTCAGTTCCTGCAGAAATCGACCTAATGCCCTCTTCTCTTAGTCAAGTAGATATCTCAGTGTTGCAACAATTGCCTGAAGAATTGAAAGTTGATATACTTGAGCATCTGCCTGCTCATAGGAGGCAAGAATGTATGCCAGATGCTTCTTTGGGTCCTTTTATGTCCAATCCTCAGGAGTCATCTGGGGTAAATTGTACTGAGAAAAGGACCGGAACAAGTAATTATGTTTCAAGTAGTGAGCTTTGGGTTGGAAAGCCACCACGGTGGGTTGAAAAGTTCCAAGTCAGCAATTGTTGGATATTGAATATTTTTGCGGAAATCTATTACAGATCAGGGTCTACTGGTTATTTATCTTCTCTACTGCAGCAGATAATGTCCGAGACTCGACTTTCTCAGTGTACAAGTCTGGATGGATGGGATGATGCAATTAGCTGCTTTTGCGAGCTCTTCAAGCAATATATTAAACTAAAAATAGAAGAAGATATTGAGGAGATCTATGTTTGTTTTCGTGTTCTAAGAAGGTATGTCTCTCCAAACTAGATGAAGCTATTATGTAATAAGTAATAACTGTATACAGTATTTTCTTTAAACTGTTCAGTGTCAGGGTAGGTTTTCTTTATCCAAGATGAGGCGGATCTTGCTTAAGGTGCCAAAAATTATTTTTTTATATTTTTTTGATGCTAATGGTTCCCCTCAATTATTGATAACATTGATCAGTTATTTATGTGTTCTCTAGCATCTGTTTGGGATGTCACAAATAAGAAGCATCTGGAAATTTTTTCCCTTGATCATGAGTTTGTTAGATGGCTGTCATGAGGCCTGGATAGTTTTAGTCTAATTTATTTTAATTTTTTCAGTCAAAGTTGTGACAGTTATGTTGCAAAATTTAATGAAATACATGTTAAGCTCTCAACAGTGGCATTTGGTACTCCTGGCAACATCAGGCACTGGGGGACCCCGAGTCATATTTTGAAATGAAATGTGAATTGACTTATGTTGGATGGTTGGCATTTTGACTCACCAGCTGTAGAATGCTGGCATTTCATCTGTATCCCATCCAGTTGACCATGTTTAGAGAACTTGTTTAAAGCTTTGTATCACGTATAAGCAGTGCTCTAATTTACAGTTGCAGTTAGAGCCATATTAAAGTATTATTTTCTCAAACTCAAAGCAATTGTGTAAATTATTTGGTGGGTCTGACTTTTCTTTTTTGGCTTTATTAACTTGAGATATTTTAGAACTTGTACCCATAATAGGTTGAAGTTTTGCTTGCATACAAGACGTCACTGGTTATTTTACTCCATCTATTTTACTCCATAGATGGCTGTAAAGCATGGTCACTCTTTCAAAATTTTGCCCCTCATTAATAAAGACAAAGCTCCTTGCAAAGAGAGTGCTCTTGCCCCATGGCTAACCCTTTTGCTTTTTTAGGGTATTAGTTCTCAACTCATGTTCATATTGGACCTAGCAAACTTTACTCTAGTTGTAAGCTTCCTAACACAACTCTCCTCATTGGATATTAGTCAATATTAAAATTTTGATATTTGAGTACCATTCATTGGAATGCCATTTTGCATGGTACTTCCATGTTGTATGATGTTATTTCTTGTCAAGGATGAAACATGTTATATTTTAAATTTTTTGTCGCTTATTACTTTTAAGAGTATTCATTGGATGACTAAAATATTTTAGTTGTTTCATCAGGTTAACGTCGAAATCAAAGTTTTTTTTACAAATCTACAACTTTATTCTTCCTGATCTTCAGGTTAGTACAACTAATTTATATTGTTCGTTCTAGTTTTCTGGATTGATCGCCTTTGTGCACTTCATACAATGGTTGCTGACTTTGCATCTTGAACTGGCAACTCAGCCACCTTAATTTTCCTGATATAGGCATTACATTTAATGGCATGTAATATGTTAGTTGTTTACTATTTATGATCTATAACTTTGGGTATTAGAAAGCAATTTTGCGTATTGCATGCTTACATTGTGTCTTCCATAGCTATTTTCTTCACATAATTAGTCATGCCAGTTAGCTTGGTTATATGTTTCGTGGGATGAATATGTCAACAGAAAATGTGGACTTCTTCACCAATGAAAGTGTCCTGGGGCTGGTTAACTTTCCCCTGAAGGCTTTTAACATTTTTTTAAGGGATATGACTTTTTTTTTCATTCAGTGCGGATGAGAAAAACATATCACGCTGTAGTCACTTTCACGTTTAGTTGATAATTATCATGTGCTATATAACAGAAAATGTAGGGCCAATGCTTAGTCCATTGGGATGCCAAGTGTGAGATCATAAATTTGCGTGATAACATTGACTCTGCACGAATAGGAGCCAAATATTTTAGTGTCTATTCACTCTACGCTCTTAGCACCGCTAGTAAGCATAGGACCCAATAGGGACACTGGTATAGCAGGTACCCCAGACGTTGCATAGGTCGCACGATCCCAAAAACTCTGGTATCTTATTTCTTTATTTTGACGAATGACGATCGTTAAATTTAAATTTTTTGTTTGTTGTGATTTTTACATGTTTTCGTGGTGCAAATATGCAACTGTTATTCAAGACCATTAGCTAGTAAGCTATTTTGGATTAAGATTCACTTGGGAATTTTTGTCACATATATAAAATAATTGCTAATCGACTATGCTTGTATGCAATAATGATATACGATTTCGTATCAGTGAAAGAGATCCAGATAAGAATTCTAGAACGAACCAGAGTCCAAAATAGTGTACCAGCCAAGTCTACCTCAAGCGGCCCGTATGTGTAGAAAGTAAGAGAGATTTATCAGTTACGATGTGAGAAACCTATAGAAAAAGAACCAGATAAGACATTCAACTAATGTTTAGATAGAAGTTTCTACAGCTGCGTGACATTGAATGCCAAATAAGGGGCAGAATGAGACTGATCATCCAAGGGTGGTGAAATTTTCTCAAATTCTGAAAATTTGCAATTTTTAAAATTTTTTGGGTTGTCTAAATAAAAAAAAAATGGCAAAGCTTGGGGATTTTCTACAATTTTGGGAAATTACTGTGTTGTTCCAGATTTTTTGCAAAACCTAGGTACTGTTCTGTATATTTTTGGATATCTGGCTTTTCTATAATTTATGTGAAGTGTGGAAACAATTCTTTACTGTCTAGAAAATCTGGTGTTATTGAGTAGTTTTAGCAAATATTTTGAAAAATTTGTTATTTTCTTGATTGTTTGATCTAGTATGCAACATTGTGACTAGAAATCGCTCAACTCTGGACGATCTCTGATTTGGGCGCAATAATCCCAAATGGGGTGGGTTAGTGATCTAGATTGTCCAAATTTTTTGATTTGAAATTGCAGCCCTGGCCCCAAGTTAATTCGTGTTTCTGTGAAAGTATAATTACATAAAATTTCAAATAATAGGAAAACAACCATGAAGGTAAAATTAATATTAATGGATTATGGTGTATAAATGTACAAATACACATAACTTCGTATGGTACTAAAAATGATCTAGATAAAAGTTGTGTTGTAGAAAATCGCGACCAAAGCAGCATATTAGCATCCACCCGTCACTCTCTAACCGCGAAATGTTGTACCATGTAGTCATACCAAATGACCCTTGATCCAAGTAACATGGTGGAATTTCTATTTTTTTATTCGGGGCCAGGTGGAATTGTTGGACTCTATAATTTGGTCGGATTTGTTGACCAAGTAAATTTTATCAAGCAATAACTGCAGAGAGAATGCGTGTCATGCTCTTAATTATTTTTAAATCATTAGTTGCAAATTATATAAATTAAAATCAACTACTAGAAATGAATTTCGGTGTAACACTGAGTGGGTATCGTAATTTTATCCTTATAGATACACGAACAAGAACAATTCAAGCTCACAAATCACTATTTTGTGAATAGTTATTTTCATATCAATATCTAGCACATCTTTCAAGTAAATACATTTGAAAAATTGTGGAAATCAGGTATAAAATTAAATTAATTTAACCCCACCCCAAGGACTTCACTTTCTCTTCAGTTTTCTGCCCAAAAATGGGCGAATTAAAAATGGTGGCCTGGAGGAATTTTGTTTCACTCCAATTTTCCATTCCACCTCATTTTCTTTGATACCAAATGATTTTCCTTCCCTCCCATTTTCCACCCTCCACTTTCCATCCAGTCAGTCCTCCACCCTACCAAACAGCTTGTTTGGGTGGTGAAGCAGTTTGTGCATTTTGTTCTTGAAGCATGACTTCTTCTGATTAAATTTACTCTTTTATGTTATGTGTGTATTCTCAGAATTGCTTGATTCTGTTAACCTCACATTCTCTTGATGATATAATGTCTAATTTTTTTTTTCCTGTTATTTCAAACTTCCTTCAGGCATCTGTTGGTGAAACCTATGGAGGAAACTTCCATATGTCATACATTGAAGGCTAGTGTTTCTCATCATATAATTTTTTGAATTTTCAATGCTCAATGGTCACATCATGTAAGCCTGGACGTTGAAGAACCATTTTCCAGTCACTAGTTCGCTTCCATGATTTGAGACTTGTAATCATATGCAATGTGGCAGGTAAGTCGATATTTTTTTGTTGTAAAAATGTAATGGTAATCAATGAATTGATTATAATATATTTATGGTTTTTGGATGTGATATCTATATATATGACCAAATTTAATGGATATTGAAAGTCTCTCCTTGTTTTGGTGGGTGCATATTTTAGTTTTGTGGGCCAGCTTTATGAGAAACATATGACTTAAATTTTGTCCTCTGATCAAAAAGACATGCTAACTTTGAGTTAAAGTACACTCTGAAATTAACTAGTGGATGCATGTGTCAATCTTTTTTTGGTGTTCGTTTTTTTTTGATTTATATGGTCTTAGAAGGATAAGAATTCGAGCTTGATAACCTATTTAATGTGAGAAATTGGAACACATTGTTTGTTTTCTGTCACACAATAACAAATCATTGTTTTACTTGCTGCAGGGCATCTTATGCCCATAAGTTATAGGTGACATTTTGGGCACACCAGCAAAAAAGAAAGAATAAAAATACCACTCGGTTGGCTCATCTGATGTTTCTTTGGCTTCCCTTAAATGTAGCAAATGAAGATAACTTACTTGGTTATCTTGAATATTTTTTCTAGATGTAATGAATTTACATTCGCCTCACACTTGCATACTCCAAATCAACTTAAGTCGAACAATTTTGTTTGGTAAGTAAATGTAAATGTCCTCCTGATTATGCTTGTGTTTCTTTTCTTTTTCTTTTTTGGCTATTTTTGAATGTTTATTCACATACTTTTTGCTCTCTGGTCACATCTCCAATTATGGTATTCCTTTCAGCTGCCTTTATAATTAATTGTTATACAGGATTAGACCACATCTTAAAATCCTTTGCATATGTGTCGGGTGAATTCACTAGTGTTCATTTTATTGGCTGAGATATAATATCGTTTGATTAAACTAAAGTTGGAATTGGCAATAAATCAGAAGGTTGAAGAGAAGCTTTCGAATTGTGACATTTAGGGTTTCTTGTGAGTGAAGGAATTGCGGAAGAATTTTTGAGACGAGGTGATGCAGACGGAAAGACATAGGAATTAGAGAATAGAAAAAGAAGAGAAGAAAGAGAGTTTTACCTCATCCTCGCAAGAAATCGGTTAAGAAACAAAAATCTCTGTAGAGAAACTAATCAATTCATATTTCATCAATCTAATTCAAATAATTGGGATTACACTATTATTTGTACCATTATTTGTAGGACAAGTGTCCTACCCAAATAAAAAATACTCTCTAGCAAAACTCTATAATCATCTCATAATGAGATGATTATTATTTAACCAAATAATCTAATAAATAATAGAAATAAGAATCTTCAATTTTATGTCTATTCAGTCCTTTACGATCCTTATCATGAGGATAAGAGAATTATTTACCCCACCTCTTTCTCAACTAGTGTATATAAAGATAAAGTATCACAATAAAACCAAATACTGGTATATCATTATGATAATATCTAAATTATACTAAATAACATTGTTTTACGCTGGAGTATGAATAACATATAAACCAAACTTGGAATTAATGAGTATTTGACTACTTTGGCTCAATGTCTTAGTGAGCAAGATCTTCAAATTTTACATATGTTGTAGAAACATTCAAATTTAATATCTTATCATAAATGAAGTGACAATCAATTTCGATATATTTAGTTGTCTAAAAACCACTTGGTTGTGAGCTATGTGAAGCATTACCTAATTATTGCAAAACAACTATGTTAGTGTTTGAACTTGGAAGTCAATTAGGTGTAATTCGTGTCTGAAGTCACGGTGCAACGTAAACTAACCTGTTAATTTGGAGAAGTGAGGAGTGAACATCATAGAGAGAGGGTGAAGAGTGAGGAGAAGAAGGTAAAATTTAATATGAATGGTTTTGAAATATGTTAGTGGCCGTTGAATGAGTCTATTTGAGACTGTTGAATGAGCTTATTGAAGTCTGCCCTGTTTTATATTATAGATTTCTAAACTAAAGTTTTTTAACCATGTTGACACCCTTGTAGTGTGTTCCATTGTCCTATACTGCGTTGCACTCCCTTGCAGTGTGTTTCATGAAACTAGGTGACCCCTTAAGAAAGTAAAATATCTAGTTTTTGACATTTGATTCGAGGGAGTCCTAACGCAATTAGCATTGTAGAGTATTCTACTCTTAAGATATTTATTAAAGCGGCAGAACAAGTGTTGTACGCTAGGTGCACCCATAGATAGATCTTCACTATTTCCATGTATATCATACTTGCTCGAGTCTCGAATTTTCTGATTCGGATATTAAGAACATCAATTATTCTATCTCTTGGTACAAAATACTTTAATACATTAATTTTCTAAGTCTTTATTATGAAATTGATGTTGGAAAATACTTTAATTTTGCAATATCATAAGAATCATCAATTCGCTGGTAACCACAATGTCACCTATAAAAAAAATAAGATGTCACGTATAAAAAAAATAAGTATAATGTAATCTGTGTCATTATGTCAATGGAGTACATTGTGATTTTCTCGACACTAGGAGAAACGTCCAATAATTTTTGTCTAACTAAATCCCTAGCAACAAGTTGGGTTATTACACGTCTACCAGAACTATCATTATTAAATAAAACCCTTAAATAACCAATATGCTTTTTATCATGGGTAACATAACGAAAACCCAAGTTTTGTTATGGTGTAAAGTATCCATGTCGGCCTCTGATGTTTTCCTCTAACCTGGATTAGACAATGCTTTTTATACTGTCTTAGGAATGGAAATAGTAGATAGTTGAGTTATAAAACAGTGAATTGCAAGGGCTGAGGTATTACCAAGAAACAATGACTATAAGATGTCTAGTAAGTAGCGACCCAAGATTGAGTACCTTTACGAAGAGCATGTAATGAGCAACAAAAGGTCATTTGGGTTAGACGACAACGATGAGGAAGGGGGGACAATTTTGCAGATGGTTGCAAACGATTGGGTGTACACATGTAATGGAGCTGTAGACGGTGGTGGCAGAGAAATCGAGGGAGATGCTACAGACTATGAAATGACCTAGTGTAATGGAAGATGTGTTGACAAAAGGCAATGAAGAAGTTTTCCCAAAGTCAAGATCAAAAGCATAGGTGACAGGTGGGAAATAGAGTATATAGACCCATAAAAGAGTGACATCAATACTAGAGAAATAACGCCAAAGTGTAGAACTGTAGCGATGGTAACCTTTTTAGGAGTGCGAATAACCTAGTAAGACATTGTAGCGCGGGGGTGAAGTTTATCAATGATGATTAATTTATTTAGTGCACGTATAATAAGCTTTTTAGAGTGGGTATGTGATATTTTTTAGTAGATCTCACATATTAGAATGAATCATCTCAAAGGGAATATCAATACCATTATTAATTGACGGCTTAGAAGGTATACGGGGATGCTTATTGGTTGACAAGTTTTACGAGACACCAAGGACACAAAACTTAGACAACTAACTTGATGGTTCCAAACCGGAAGAAATGGGTGACCTTGAAGGCAATGTCATTGAAAATAAAAAAGACTAAAAAGGTTTGAGGAAATGACTCAAAATTGAGGTTATAAAGACTACTCAATACCATTAGTAATTGACGGCTTAGAAGGTATACGGGGATGCTTATTGGTTGACAAGGTTTACGAGACACAAAGGACACAAAACTTAGACAACTAACTTGATGGTTCCAAACTGGAAGAAATGGGTGACCTTGAAGGCAATGTCATTGAAAATAAAAATGACTAAAAAGGTTTGAGGAAATGACTCAAAATTGAGGTTATAAAGACTACTTGCTTCATGTGTCGTAGCGATCTTTCACTTCTTTAAATCCTGAAGCATCTAAAAAAAGGATAAAAAGTGACAAACAATTCATGAATAATTTTGTTAATGGACTTCAAGTTAAAGAAAAATTTGGTAACAAATAAAATCGAAGATAAAGTTAGAGAGGGACTTAGCTGAGTTTGTTTCAAACTTGAGATAGGAGAAGGAACTATTAGCAAGAGTAAGATTTTGACACACTAAACAAAGTACTGTCCTCGTCACCCAACGATGGCTACAAACAAAACGAGTGCAACTAAGGTCCGAAACCACCGGTGTCATGCACCATCAAAATCCATACACCATTGTCAGTACCTAGGACAAATTGCAATAACATGGAAGGGTGATCATGAATACACAAAAGTTACACTGTGATCATAGTAAACCAACAAACTAACATCATCAAGCTATAGCAACATTGCCAATACCACAATTGTCTATATTTAGACCACAGTCAATGATTGGAAGTAATCAATACCAATATAGTATGAAACAACCAATGTTGTAATGAAGATACGTCGTGATATTGTCAATGAAGTTGTAACTAGGAAAAGAAGATTAACAAAAAAAAAAAAACAAAAGCTCTTTGGATCACTACCCTGATATCATGTTACCTTTAGGATTTGTAAAGAAGAAATTGTGGAAGTACTATGCGAGAGGAGAAAAGGAATATTAAACCTACCTCTCAATCTCAACTCATATATATAGATTCCGCCAAAAAAAATATAGAAAAGACTATTTTATCCAAATTAGATATTTAGATGTGCAGGTAGTAAAGTTTGGCCAAAAGGAGCTAGCAGAAGTCGAATATTTTCGATGTTTGGGATCAAATGTTCGTAGAGGGGGAGAGATAGAAGAAAATGTTACTAATAGAATTAAGGGTATATTTCACATGGATCTTCTGACCTTAGACTTAATTATACATACAACTGTCATTTCATATGGGTAATACTGCGACTTGGCGAGGGTGATTGCCTTTTTCTAGAGTTCCTTTGTAATTGCGAGCCTAAGGAATGTATGATTAGAACAATTTCCGGTCTTTCCAAAAGAATTCTCTTTACCATTTCTTCAAGACC